CGAATTGTTAGTAACTACATATGTATATAATCAAATACATATATATAGAATCAAATAAGATATTATTATTAATTGAAGCAGTGCAGGCATTTTTTTTAAATATTGATAATTATTTTTGATAACTTCAGTGTGTGTTGTGTCTGTTACTAAATTAGGTAAACTTAGAAACAGACACATTATAATTTATGTTATTCCTTTTACTTAAAATATCATATTTCCCATTCTAATTAAAATAGTATGTTCTTTCATTTTTATATAAATAAGCATGAATTGTGCGTAGGCGCAAGGCCGTGCACCCACTCATACACAGGCTGCACCGGGTGACATTTGATCTAGTTCCAAATATGTGGGCGACTTTGCAGTTGCAGGCAACAATGTATTTGTTTCTGTTGACTGTGGTTGCCATAACGACAAAAGTATTAACACTTTGTGATAATTACCGTAATTGAAATAAAAAATAAATCAGTGGCGCTACAACCTCTTTCGGTCTCGGCCTCAGATTTCTGAATCTGTTTCATGATAAAAAAAAATTATAGTGAAATCATAGTAGCCTCATTATTTATGGTAAAGCAGATTTCATATTAGCAAAGTCAGCATAGAGTAGAATGAAGCAGAGAGATGGCGGTCCGACTTCGAAGCAAAATTAAAAATACTTTAATAATAAGGTTTTTTGGATCTAGGAAAATTTCATTAAAAAAAATCAGTGGTGCTACAACCTTTTCAGGTCTAGGCCTCAGATTTCTGTTTCTGCCTGTCGCTTTCACAACCATGTCGGTTTCCTCACGACGTTTTCCTTCACCGTTTGAGCGAATGTTAAATGCGCACATAGAAAGAAAGTCCATTGGTGCACAGCTGGGGATCGAACCCAGGGATGAGAGTCGCACGCTGAAGCCACTAGGCCAACACTGTTCAACACTGAGACTTTGGATCACAAAATTTTGGGGCACAGCGTAGTGAATATTTAATTGATAAGAGTTAATATTTTACGTCTTCGATTCTTCGACCAAATAACATATCATTTTCATATTAATACCCAGTCTTCAAAGCGGTGTTTGCGTTCCAAGAACACAAATAACCGTCTCCTCTACGTCTAGTCAACATATAATAATGTCTATGAAATGTTAATACTAGACTGAGAAAATTGTTGTCTCTATATAAAAACTATTTTATATTGCTTGATGTACGCTTATTGCAAATTAAAGCTTTCCTATAGTTACAGTATAAAACATCTTCGTACTTATCGCGCAAAGATCTGCGGATTTTATTAGACTCACATACCATTAAAACCGATTACCACTTTAACGACAGTGAAACTAACGCAAATCAACCTTGACTGAACTGTCCAGATGTCACATGGGTGACACTTTCTTTATACAACTTTCATTATATGTAATATTTTTTACTAATACGGTGTGGTTGCAAATTACGGTAGGAAAGTAAGGTAGCTCAAAAAAATTCTAAAGGATAGCTTACGGAAGGAATCCAAAGATTCTACTATTTTAAAGGTTATACTTGCTTGTGCAGTGTTGGGCTAGGGGCTTCAGCGTGCGACTCTCATCCCTGAGGTCGTGGGTTCGATCCCGGCTGTACACCAATGGACTTTCTATTTGCGCATTTAACATTCACTCGAACGTTGAAACCGGGTTGTCTTAGACCAAAAATTCGACGACGTTGACACACGTTGGCACAGGAGGCTGATCTCCTACTTGCCTATTAGACAAATGATCACGAAACAGATACAGAAATTTGAGGCCCAGAGCGAAAAAGGTTGTAGCGCCACTGATTTTTATTTATACTTGCGCGCTAAACTCAGAAACTAGTGGTCCGAAGTTTTTTTTAATTATATGTCGGATTGTCTTTTAAAGAAAAGCTGTATAACACCTTACGTCGGAATTAAGGCGGGAAAAATGATGTCTTTTTCGCAAATAAGTTAAGCTGTAGTTTTTTAGTCTTTTCCTACCACACCTGAATCTTGCTAAGTTATGTACCAATATAATCAACGACTCTTTTATTATAATTTTACATTATACGAGTATATTTAAACGATTGTAAATTTTGACTCTACCCTAAGTCTTTTTTCCTTCATAACAAGGACAATTTAATGTTTAGATCTATGCATTTATGTGATTAACCTAGATTTTAGGTAAGGTTGACTTAGGTAAATAAAATACCGTTTATGTTTATCTAGCGGACGCCTTTTTTAACATATTTTGCTTAATATAGATATACTTGTAAAGATATAATAAAATAACATATTTTATTTATCTATTTCTTATAGTAGTTTCGTTAACAATTTTTTATTTTTATTTCTTTATTTACTATATTTTTGCAAACAAATCTTTTTCACTGTTAATTTTTACTATTATTATTTTTCTACTATTATTATTATTACATTATTTTTCTTTTTTTACGTCTGAAGCCGCGTATCGACTACGCGCTCCAAGAGGGCGAACATTGGCGCGCGCTCCAGCCGCGCGCAATGGATACCACTTTGGAACGCGCGCCAATGTGTTCGTTGGAGCGCCCGAACGCGGAGCGGTCCGTTCCGACGGGTGTCGGTTTTTTACCACGCATCAATCGTGGCGCGCGCGCCAGTTGGGACGGATATATCGTATTTTTTTGTTTTTGTTGCGCTCCCAATTATGGATAACCAAAGTTGCCGTAAATTAATACAACTGTATGGTACAAAAGAACTACTGTGGAATAGCAAAAGTTCTTCGTATCATAATAAATCGCTTAGAGAAGATGCTTGGAGAGAAATCAGTAGTGAAATGGGAGTCCCTATGCCGGAATTAAAGAAAAAAATGACTGTGCTCCTATCATCGTACAGAAGAGAAAAATTTAGAGTATCTAAAAGCCAAATCACTGGCTCTGGCTTTTCTTGTTTATAATACTGTGAATAATTACAAAAGCTGCTGCTGACTGGCTTCCATGATGAAGGGTCGAACACTGGAACAGCTGCCACGCGCGCCAGGCGCGCTTAGTTGATATACTTCAAATATTTGGAACGCGTTTCACGCAACGCACTCTCGGTGCGGTCATTCATGGCGCGCGCGCCAGGAGCGCGTAATCGATACCCAGCTTGAGGCGCAAACTATTGTCTTCTCTTTCTAATTTCTTTCCATATTTTTTTGTTTTTATCTTTTTTGATTATTATTATTTTTTGTGTATTTTTCGTTAGTAATAAATGTTATGTCTGTAATTAAAAAGAAAATTCACTTCTTTTGATCATACTATACGTAGATTATAACTTGATACACTCTCGTGCTAAATAAGTGGACATTTTATTACTCTATGGTAATTATTACAACAATTTTATGTTGTGGTAACATGAGAGTAGTACAAGATCTACTTGTTAACGGAACTGCGATTTCAAAGAACCTCACTGGAATCTTCATTACTTCGACGACACTGAATGATTCATTCACAAGGAATTAACTTTATCAAATAGAAAATATCTTTGTCCGGTTTTCACCGCAAGAGTTTTGCATGTTTTATTCACTAGCGCCAAAAATGAAAGCATATGTTGTAGATTCTTTTAAATCGTTTTTCTTATATCGTAGACGATAAGAAATGTGGATACACAGGGATAAAAACGCCTGAAGATCTACCCTCCAATAAGGGGTTTATAAAATTAAATTATATTTTATTTACAACTGACGTTACTCCTCGGACCTTTCTCCAACAGATTACCATTTATTTCGAAATTTGGATAACTTCTTGCAAGGTAAATATTCAACTCTACTGGGGCAGTCGAAACTGTCTTCAAAGATTTTATTGATTCCCGTCCGAATGGTCTTTCAGTAAATCAATGAGCTACATATAAGATGGCAAATGTGCATAGATAGCAATGATACATATACGTACATTATTAATTAAGAATATTATATTTTTTTCAAATCTACTTTTTGTTCATCACATATGTAAGGACCAGGAGGAAAGCCAATCTCATATGTAAGGACCTAATATATAAATAACAGTCTTACTATATGACAATAAAACAATAAATGATGATAGATAATAATATATACACCGATAGATAGATACAATACTTCAATCATTGAGATGGGTCCACGGACAGTAGATATACATAAACAATTATACAAATCGATTTTTAGCAATAACACTTTTTAAAGAATAGCCTTAAAAAGAATTATTTGAGGGTTTTCCCTGCGGTGAGCGTTTCGTTCGGGTAATAGGTATTATGCATTATATTTTTATTTTAAGTTGTTGGTTTATATTTGATTACTATATAAAAGTAGTTTCATTTGTATATATTACATATTTATTTAAAAATATATCCGATGAAATTAGATTCAAATATTTTTTTATATATTATTATAGATAGAGACAGCTTTCAAGGCGTTTTGCTAATACTAAATACTATTACCATTTAAGCTTTTCATCACGATTTCTCAAATTGGCCAATCTAGGCCAATTTTAATCTAAATTTATTTCACCTGATGTTAATGCAACGCGAAACGTGTTTAAAATTATAATTAACCTATGACTGCGAAATAATTTCCTAATTAATATTACATACATAAAATTAGATTATGTTTTAATGTCACTGAGAGACGTAACATAATATGTACACGAAAACGGCGCATAGGCTATGCTTTCAATTTACGTGCAGAAATCCTCGGAGTGAGGTCGCTCCGTAAAGCCTGCGAAGTGCCCAGGAAGCTTCTGTACTTTTGGAAAGAGTTAGGCTGGCTTAGTTAGCCAGGGCTTTACGCACAACGGAACTATTGAGAGTCAAAGGGCGGAAACGGAATCCACAAACCAATGACCAACCAATAAATGCTTGAAATTCGTATACGGGGTGTAAATGTCCCAAGGTCAAGCCGAAATCTGGTAATACAAATAAAATTCTGTAACGTATTTTTGCCAATCCAGAAAAGAATTGTTTTATACTCGAAATTATTATTACATCTAAATATCCGACCGTATTAAAAACACTATACAATGTTGGCAAGTGATATAAAAAAATGGCGCAGTTAGTGACTTACCAAATAGCAATCAATGGGTTTCTCTCTCGGTCTGTGGTAGGCCTTCTGAAGCTCTGTCTGTTTGAGAGCGTGTGCGATGTGTAATGCGCTTGCGTCGAACCTTCCATATTGGTAGTCTGGAGTATCTCTTGACAACTCACGCGCTGGGGAGGCTTGCACGCTGTTGCCATTTGTGGCTCTGATTGGTGACACTGAAAACGGTTTTTTGTTATTTATTAGTAGTTCTATTTAAAGTTAAAGTTCATTTCGTTATTCTCGTAAAAAAATCAGTGGCGTGTGACAGTGGATTCTTGTTTATACTTGTAACAATTGCTCACACGGCTTTTCTTTTCCGTGGGCAATATTAGTCCTGAAAAATCAACGAGGTATACCGATTACAGAAATGTCAATGAAACACGTGTGCGACTGCCTCATTCACGATACGGATTTATATAGGTACACTTCTTTGTAGAGACAAAAGAATTAAACAAGATAAAAGATGATTGCAACTTTCAAATCTCATTCAGTCAACCCGTGCGGTAAGAGCTAAGCGGCTACAAAACAAAACACTGCGAAATATTAGCGGTGCGCTGTGGTGAACACAAATTCTGAAGTCCATAAATATTTGAGAATTACCACTGTTGAGGAAGACATTCAAATATCAACTGAACTATACAAAAGGAGATTTCAGCAACACGTCAACCCTCCAGCTTCGGGCTTCTTGGAAACTGCGTGTTTCGGCTATGAAGGGCGAGACTTGCCGAAGTTTGATAGTTTGCGAGTTACGGAGGGAAACAAAATTATTGGAATTGTCTCAAAATCATATAATTAAATCTGATATAGACAAGAGGCTGACTGCAGATGGATTTAAAAAAGAGATAAGTAACACAAATAGATTCCAATATATGAAGGGTTGTTTAACGTAACCATATTTAAATAAAAAAAGAGTATGCACAGCATTACGGCGTAGCCTGACGATTTTCTGTACGGTCTACTCTTCGGGACGAGATTTGTTACATTTTTTATTTTAATTAAATAGTTTTAATATATTTTTGTATTAACAATATTCTTAACCTAAATAGTAATAAAATTAAAATGGATAAATAGAAAATTAAAACAAATATAAAAAGTTTGGACCCTGTACTTTTAATGCTTTAATTGCGGTACATATTTGTTGAGCAAGGAAAGCATCAGCTCTGACTCACCGGTACCGCCTATTAGCCGACAACTTAAATCTTAATTTAGCGCCTGTTCACTTGAACTCCACGGGCACATCGAAAGGGAACAAAATCAAAGTTGGAGGAAAGTCTCAAATTTGAGCCGTTTATTATTTTCCGCCTGGTCCTGCCTCTGCGGCCACGCCAGCATTTGTGCTTGTCCGAGGGAGGTGAGACGTGGCTAACGTGTCCTCACAAGTAGCATCTCATACCAAAGACCGCCCCATCCTCCAAGGGATCAAGACGCCCCGCCCCATTCGGCTTACCATCGTCTCTAATTATATTTTAATATTTTTCTTAAAATTCGAACGAGTATTTCTCCATACTGTGTTTCATAACAGAAATCAGAGTTAACCAGAACCTCCATTCAAAACTAAGGTACTACTAGCATAATTTACGTTACGTAAACATTTCCAGCTATTTAAAGAAATATGAGTCTTGATCAATTGATTGAAGTATCAGTTTCGTTTAGCGGTTTGAATAGTGCCAACGACCGTTCGGATATAGTTTACTGATTTCTAGTTGTACAACAGAAGTTTTCATTTATGACATCGTATTAAGAATGATAGCATAGATGAGAGCAGTGTTGACCTAGTGGCGTCAGCGTACTACTCTCATACCAGCCCTGCGATTCTGTAACTCACTTTTCGAACTCACACAGCGGTTTTCGCATCGGCGGTCGCTCTCAAATCAGTCGTGAAGCAGTCATTTTATGATTTGGCATTCTGAAAAGGTGGGAGCTTATAGTTTATTGTTTATCAGAATGCCAAATCATAAAATGACTGCTTCACGACTGATTTGAGAGCGATCGCCGATGCGAAAACCGCTGTGTGAGTTCGAAAATGAGTTACAGAATCGCAGGGCTGAGGTCGTAGGTTCCATCCCCGGCTGTGCACCAATGGACTTTCTTTCTATGTGCGCATTTAACATTTGCTCGAACGGTAAGGGAAAACATGACAAACCGACATGTCTTAGACCCAAAAAGTTGACGGCGTGTGTCAGGCACTGGAGGCTAATCACCTACTTCCCTTTTATATTTAAAAATGATCATGAAACAGATTCAGAAATCTGAGACCAAGACCTAAAGAGGTTGTAACGCCACTGATTTATTTTATTAAGAAAGATAAAGATATTTTGAGTTTGAGTTTGAGTTTATGTATTTTCATAGCTAAACAATTTTGAATACAAGAACAGTTGTCGTTTTTATATTATTCAATTTACTTTATATATTCACGCAAAAAAATATACAAAAAACATAATGTTTTTTCTGTTATCATGTAATGTTATTCTTATGCCGTTTTAAACCATTTTACATATTTTACCTTTATGCTTCAAAATACGTTTGCTTATCTAAACAGATTGCCGACGACATGGGAGAGTGGAATAAGTTGTGCGGCGCCACTAACATGACCTTTAGAAATAAAGAGTGCGACTGAAGAAGAAGAATTTAAGCAGACTACATCATCATGTCAATGTTGAGGTAATCCAACTTCTTGATACGTTGGGGACAAGGCACTTGAAGAGAACTAAACCTTTTTAGTTAGTGAAACTAGTGTAGTGTCGTGAATTTAAATGCCAGTAGGATATCTGTGACACATGATCATAGACAGCATTGTGCTAAAATGTTATAGAAGTTGTTCTTTTGTAGACTTTGCTCTTTTTTTTGTTATCGTTTGGAAAAAATCCTTTATGAAGTTGAAAGAGAAATCACATATTCCTATTAACGAATGATAAGTTCAAATATCTCCGTATTTCTAGCGTCTATACACTGTGGTTAAGATATCCATAGACCATAAGCTCACGTTCTAGGAAGGCATAATACCGTGTTAGGTTTTTAAGCCGGTCAAGTTGTGTAAATTTATTTAGAGTATTTTACAAAATACACATTTAGGAATGCGGCCCTTAGTGGGTGATCTTACGAAAGAGGATGTTAAAATTTAAATTTAAAACGGACAAGCAATTATTGATTGATATATCCTGCATTTTTTATTTACGATGCGATAAATATCAACTAATTATTTAAAAAAAAATAATTATAAATGTAATGTAAACTAACTACGAACGTATACTAAATGTAATGTAAAAGTTCTTACTAACCACGAACGTAATATATTTGTTACATAAACCATGTTATGGGTAAGTAGCTGTTTTTTGGGTCTAAAGGATGTCGGTTTCCTTACCATAGTTCCTCTGCACTCTACGAGTATGTTTCTACAGAAAGTCCTAAAAACAGATTTGTAATGAGGACTGCGCTATAAAAGTCGAACGTTACCCGGAGAGTCTGAGCCTACATTAAGAGCCCTATGCTAGTCAGGTAGCGTGGCCCTCAATAAAGAACACCTCAGCTCGCACCAGACGTCCCACAAACAGCGATGCAACCACTAGGGCGAAGGCTGACAAAGCTCATCTTATCCGGTACACTCTTGACAGAGCAATCGTAATCGTTATGTGGTAGTAATATTAGAAGGGACAGATGCGATGCGCTTCACGAGGTTTCGCCATCGTTGCCTATTAGAAGTCATCCTGCTGCACTCAATGACTGAACTTCCTACGGCAGATTTGATCTGGACAATCCAACGCGCGGTCTAGTGACATCTACCTTCCCTTGGACGAAGGCGTATAGGCTGATCCAGCTTTGGCGCCAGGAGGGGGTCACATAGTCGTGGTCAAGTCAAGAACTTATAATTTAATTTTGATAACAATAGATACAAGTAAAAAGTAGGAATTTTATTAATGTACGTAAGTAAGTATTGCACTTAAAAATATTTATTTTTTATTGTACACTTGAAAAACTTAACACATAATATTGTGTACATACAGGTTGGTCCAACTAGTGACGTCAATAATTTTTTTTAGATTCCTCACACCTGGGGGCATACGAAAATACCCCATGTATGTTCCGCGATTTTTGTATTTTCGAGTTATAATTATTTTTTTGTTTTTTAATGTTTTCTGCCAGCGAGGTTTAAAAAATAATAAGCCACCAAAATCATAGAAAAAAAATGGTACTTAATTGGTCTTTTTTTGTTGTAATCTGCCTTTAAGGTGGATAGGCTAAAAATCATTGAAGCATTAAACATGTTTTTTTTTTTTCGACTTTTATTATTCTTATGGTAAATTAAACTATAATGTGATTTTAATTAATTTTAATACCGATTAAAAAAAGTAGCTTTCCTTCGGGTAAACCAGCTCTTTAAAAAACCCCAAACGTTGTCGTTATGTATTCAAGTTGGAGGAAGGAGTTTTGAAAATTTATTATAATACTAGCTGATCCGGCAAACGTCGTTTTGCCATGTATATCATTTATAATAAAAAATAGCGGTTGATCGTAGAGGGATAAAAATTGGAGGTTGTATGTATTTTTTAATGCTGTATCATGAAAAAATGAAAAAAAACTTTATATAAAAATTAAAAAGTAATAATTTAGGGTGGACTACCCTTAACATTAAGGGGGATGAAAAATAGATGTTGTCCGATTCTCAGACATACCCAATATGCACACAAAATTTCATGAGAATCGGTCAAGTTTCGGAGAAGTTCGAACGAAGTTCGAGTGTCGAAACACCGCGACACGAGAATTTTATATATATGAAATAGTATTTTTTCAGTAAATTGTGTTTTTTATTTGTTATTAAAAAAAACAGGTTATTTAATCATTTCGAATAACGTTTTGAATTTTGAGTGGTAAGACCAAAATTATTGTAAGAATTACACGAGCTACTTTTTTTACGGGTATTAAAATTAGTAAAAAATAGATCGTAAAGTTTCATTTGCCATAAGAAAAATAAAAGTTAAAAAAAAACAGTTTTAATGTTTCAATGATTTTTTTTTATTCATTAAAAGGCCGATTACAGCTACATTTATTTTACGGGTATCAAAATTAATTAAAAAAACCACATTATTAAGTTTAATTTACCATAAGAATAATAAAAGAGGAAAAAAATCATTTTTAATGCTTCAATGATTTTTAGCCTATGCACCAAAAAAAATCCACCGAATTACAAAAAAAAAGACCAATTAAGTACCATTTTTTTTCTATGATTTTGGTAGCTTAGAACCCTGTGGAGTTTTTAAACTTAGCCAGAAGCTATGGAAACTTCTTTTTGTATTTTTAAATTGAAGTCGAATGTTTGGGCAAATCCAGCTAAAAACTAAACTTCTAACTTTAAAACCTTTTTTGAGTAGCTTTAACTAATTTTAGGAAGCTGGGATTTTTTTACTTGAACATCATTTAAGGCAATCATTTAACAGAAAAAAACTGCAAAATACCTAGCAAAAAGAATATGAATTTTTGAAACCTCGCTGGCAGAAAACATTCAAAAAACACAAAAAAATGTATAACTCGAAAACTACAAAAAATCGCGGAACATACATGGGGTATTTTCGTATACCCCCAGGTGAGGAATCTAAAAAAAATTTATTGACGTCACTAGTTGGACCAACCTGTATACACGTACATATTACCATCTTCTCTTGAAGACATCCAGAGAAACACTATCACGTATTTTTTTTTTAAGTGGAATCTCGCTGTTGGCCTTTAGGGCCTTTACAGGTCAGCTCGGGCTGTTTTGGGGATCTTAGCTCGGCCTGACTATCACGTACGGAATGAGGCAGCCTATTTATATTACATAACCGTGGTGAATGATTTGTCATAACAGCTAGAGGTATGTCGAGGGGTATTACGCTAAACTTCGCAAAAGTGAAGAGATGGTATGACAAGGGATTCCATCAAACAAAATAGAAACAGACAAAATACATTTATTTTAATAACTAAATCAATTTTTCTTTAACGTGTTTTCCCGAAACGCGTTATTACGTCATTTACGTCAACGGGTACGTTTTCATGAACGTGGAGAAGTGCCAGTCCGGTTAGGCGATCTTCAACCATTGAAGATCTTAGCCACGATTTAATTCTGCGCAACGTAGAGAAAGACCTTTCTGCTGTCGCTTCGCTGACAGGTTAGTATATCCAATTTTCCTATATTAGGATACATATTGATGTCACACTTTAAAATAAGACTATGTTATGATATGTTGAAGTTTAGTCGTTCCGATTCCGATTGAGGTAAGGTCTAGCTAGACGTTTCATAGCGACAAGCGCGCGCAAGTGTGGCGCGGAAAAAAATCCCCTGGATCCGCCGTTGGGACGAAGGCGTATAGGCTGATCACCACGCCGAGATACGTGTCCGGAGGATGTAAGGATGCGAGATTGTGCTGTTGAGAACAGACGCTGATAAAGCTCGGGTATAAATGAACATTATTGTTAAACATCTTTTAGTATCAAAGTGCGTGTACGTAAGTGGCCATTACAAAGATGTATGCAAGCATTCGTATACTTTTTATATCATAACTTTCTTGTGAAACTATGCAATTCGTTTTTTAACCTAAAAAGTGGTAACGTGATTTTTATGGTAATTGTTTACTAACATACTAGAGAGAGACGGATACGCTTTTATATTCGAGTACGAAAGTGAATGCCTCCTTTGAGAATAAATAATATAATTTCTGAAGTGCGTTTTTAATTTTTTTTTGTATCGGAACTTTTCTTTAATCACGTTAAACGAAATGTTTTAATTTTCAACATAGTAAACTACTATCATAAGCTTGATATTCCCAATCAAGTAAAGGCCCCAACAGGCCCATTACCCAGACACAGAGGCCGAAGACGAGACGGGGGAGAAACAATCCTTAGAAATGAGGAGCGCGACTGACGAAGAATGAATGAATGTTGTGCCTAGGATTGTACCTACTGATACGATGAAGCTTTTTATACCTAAAACAAACTACAATTTAGGGAAATAACAAGCTCATCACGGTTGTTTACTATGTTGAAAATTAAAATTTGTTTCCTGATGTTTACTCCACCAATGGATATTCCCATCCATGTAGGACTCTTCGCATTATAAATTCCACATATCTATTAAACAATAATGGAGATAATATGCAGCCTTGCCGCACACCCCGGGCTTAAATGGATTGGAAAGACCTGGTTGTTCCTCACAACCGATGCCGTTCTAAAATTAGAACTCCCGTTTCAGTAAGGATGTTCCACAAGTGATCTCAGTGTACGCAGTCAAATGCCCTTGAGAAGAAGCATACACAACATTCTCATATACGCGTGTAATAAAAGTAAAAATTTCAAAGCATAGAATATACGTATATAGATCGCGTTGCCCAAGCTTCTGACTTACAATTTCTTAATACAATTAACAGCAGCTGTTAATAAATTTGGGCGTGAAATGACTGTTTCTCACGCTACGTTTTAGCATAGGTCAAAACACAGGTCCACAATCTAGCTTTAGGTCACTGGGCTGTATTGAGGAATGCGGCCTTCTTGCAAGTTCTATCTCTTTCGCTCGTATGGGTTATATCTCTCTTAGTGCCGAAGATTAGCGAGACTTGACGAGTTCCGAGTGCTTACCGCTGGTGCCTTCTTCGGAAGTCCGACTGGATTCTTGCTTCACTGATTTGAGATAGCTAGAGATTTATTGTGGCGTTTACGTTCTAAAAATGCTTGCACGCTACTAAAGTCTTTGAAAAGGTATTCCGAAGTTTTGGCGAAGTGCTTCCATACAAGCTATGTACAAACTTGTTTTAGTGCATACAATTAACGAAATTCACAGCAGAACAGAATTCCATGACAGTATACATCAACTATTATAAATAGCTTAACTGTTATTATTAATATGATATTTGCGTGCCGGTTTTTTTTATAATTATTCAATCTAAATGCACCACTTTCTATGCAAATAAACGATTTATTATTATTATTCTGGTCTACGGCAGGCGGTATTGGGTGAATCTCTCAGTATATCCATAGCTGTTGATATCTCAGCTATGGATAGAATAATGCAAAAAATTGCTTATAGTATTGTCTAAATTCTTAAAAGTTCTACCGTTTAATGTATGTGATTGAAAATATTGAATGTAACCCCTTTTTTTTCACTCACTGATAAACAAGATAACAAAAACTAAGAGTATGTAAAAATAGAATCGAAATGAGTGTTATAGGTCTGAAATTGAAAGATAAGAGAAATGAAAAAGTTTACAAATGCTGATACCTCTGATGCATTATAAGAAAAGACAAAGACAAATGGACGAAAAAGCGACGGAATGGCCTCCTCGCTATGACAAAAAAAACGAGGAAGACAAATAAAAAGATGGGAAGATAATATAAGTATTAAGTAGAGCAGCTGGCCCTATTATTAGTGTTTATAGTACTTCACATTTTTATGTACTATGATAACTACTTCACTGCAATGAAGGCTATTATTATTATTATTATTAACCCTTTTCTTCTTATAAATGTCTTGTCTTAATTTTCTATTACCAAATATGCGTTGACATAGACAGTGTAGAATAGCTAGAGGTGAAAATGTATCCGTGACATCCAAATCAAATCAATGTTCCAGTATTAAATTCAAATATAGAATAAACCAATCAGGCACACGTTCATGCATTAAAATACCTATTATAGTGTGTTATTACATCAATCAGACCTAGATGACTTGGAATTTTTGAGATCTTGTTTATTTTAAGTTTAGCCTTAGTGTGTGGTCAGTGAACCGTGACGAGCCTTGAAATACAAGGTCAGTTGTATTGTTTCAATGTTTATGGGCTAAGAACATTGGGATCGATAGTATGACAAGCCCATATAGTTGTCGGTTTAAAAAGGTCTAATAGCGTATAACGAATAGACATCAGTTATCTCCGTAGGATTCATCGACAAGTAAATTGTCAACTGTCAAACGGTTAAAAAGAAAAAGATGATAATACGTTCGAATTTTAGTCGAAATCGAAATCAAATGTCTCATTAAGTTTTACTCAAAGTATACTATACTATATATTTTTTTTTAAAGTTTGAGCATACATTGATAAATTAAAAAGCTCTAGGCCCCAGATTTCTGTATTTGTTTCATGATCATTTGTCAATGATTTATATACATACATATTTTTTATATTTCTATAGAATATACTCACGTTCAGTTTCATGACTGTTTCTAGCGTGGCCTCTGATCTGTTCATTCACATAGTTGTTACTTTTTGGAACATTCAGTGCACTTCGGATGCCCACGGATGAGTTGTCAAGATGGCCAGGACCGATTTTAGGAACATGGCTCGAACAGTATACTTCTTTATCCTCTGTCCAGTGTTGGTTGTTGTAGTATGTCTAGAAAGAAGAAAAAATGTGAATAGAGCATCAAAGCCGAGGCATCAAGTGCGTGAGGTATCAGAAAAAATTACAAGTAGCTGACGGTGATCATAAAAAATTTGAAAGTAGAATTGGAAATAAATATTTGAATTTGGAATCCGGAGAAAAAATGAAAATGACTGGCCGTGGGAAAACGGAAGCGTCATTATTGTTCAGTGAAAGATAATTGAAGGTTTAATTACGTGACTTAAATACATTAATAAAATTATTATACGAAATTTACTTAAATTATGAAGAAACCGTATATCTTATTGTTTATGCTTGACTAGTTCGTTGAATCGTAAACATTAAAAGTTGAAAGTTTAGCCAGGTACGATTATGTATACAAAAATTGGTTTATGTATATGCATTGGGGGCCACTTATTTATTAATTTATAAAATCTTGCCAACGCTTGGCACACTGATACAAGAAAAATAAAAGACAAGATTTAATTTGACAAGCACTTATAGGCAAACATAACAAACATGAAGAGATAAAAAAAAAATTAAAAACTTAAGGAAAATTTAATTCAAAGTGTGGCAACTATAGATATACAACTATTGACCTAGCTCGTTCAGAATGCTCAATCTGGATATCGGTAAGTTTTTGCTAGTTAAATACTTTAGCGACCCATAGACGCGGAAACTACACGTAACCTTTTAACACTTGAAAAGTCAAAAATAAAGTGTGTATGCAATAATTTTTAAACGTATCTAAATCAATATTCAATAGATATTGTTTTCCATTGAGGCTCGATGACAAAGGCCATGTTACAGTCGTTTGAAGCTCATTCACGGACACAATAAGTAATCGGCCAATGTAAAATGACCCCGTGCACAAATACGATTCAAATTACAAATATATTCCTTACAAATTTATATTATATATATATATAATAAAAAAACTTAATTTTTTAAATATTTTATAGAACAAAACTTACCTACGTTTTTAAAGTACAGTTTTGTGATATAAGTAGCAGTTTTTATCTCTAAAATATATATTATTTTATTTATATTTAACGTTTCTACCATTGGTTCAATATAGGTTTCGGCACTTTGCATTGTGAAGGACGCCTCAAAACATGTTTTGTCGCCTCCAGTTCTCTTTATTTGAATATTAATTTAATTGATAGCATTTTATTGTTTTATACGTCTAGAAAAATCCAGTTATACATATTCTGCATATTTTTCATATTTAGACAAAACAATGTACAAACAGGTAATAATATAGTAAGTGACATATTCGTAGAGGTCACGAGAGGTCAGACAATACTGGTTGTAAGCTAACGCAATAATGTTTGTGATACGCTTAGTTATCGTGGACAATAAAATTTAATTCGAAACCTTTAACGCTGTGCCACTGACCGTGTTATATTACCGTTTTCATTCATTTCGTATGCATTAATTAAAAAATTAAGGTATCAAATCTGTGTCGAATTAGTATGCAAAGTTTAGGATTTCATTGATTAATTATAATAGCCTTTTAATTCAGAATATTTTACATTTAAACACATTTATATCTCATTTGTTTTTTGATCTCCTCTACTTTACGCCGTTCCTGTCTGAACCGTGCCACTCTGCCATGTACCACCTGCCGTTTCCTTAATTTGGTCTATCCATCTCTACGTTGTGTTCCTCTTTTTCATTTATTTTGAATAACATGTTTTAATTGCACGTATATTTTTCAAGAACTTGTAAAGTTTAGCTTAGCCTAACTAGTACGTACCGACCCCCACACTCCCCGTGTAGAAGTTGCCCCGGCCGGCGCGGGGGCGAACTTGATTTCCCAACAATAAAAAAAGGCTAACAAATTTGCCGATTGTAATACTTTTGTCTTGAATAAGAAGTGTACAAACCCTACAAGAGAGAAGTTCCTGGTGCAACAAGATAAATAATTGTATCAACTAGATATTTCTTTTCGCACATACTCATGTATGTATGTTGAAGGGTGTACCCGGTCTTTTAAAAAAGCTTACATGAGGACGTGGGTACAACACGAAAGGGCATTATATATTATATATTATACTATTATATAAAGAGGAACGATTTGTATTTTTGTGAGGAATAAACTCAAAAACTGGAATTACAAAATATGACTACCATTAGGATATTTCATTATGCGTGAGATACATATTTACCTACTTCCTTTTTACTATGAAATCCTTTACTTTTTCATTCATCTAGAAAGCTCTTGAAAGATGACAAAACATTTTATATGATAAAATTTATTTTAATCAAACAAATATACAGTATTTACAATTTTCTTAACCTAGCAATAATAAAAATAATTAAAAATTAATTAAAAAAAAATTTAAAAAGTTTGGTCCCTGTAGCAGTGTACCTTTAACGCTGGCGGCATTTTCGCGCTGGGGTCAACGTTACTATCTACCAGGCGCCAATTTAAATCTTTAATTAGGGCCTGTGCACTTGACCCCCAATCTCTACTCCAAAGGGAACAAAAACGAAGTTGGAGGAAGGATTATATTATATTTTCCGCCTGTTTTATGTATGAAGAATGCCATTGATTTATGTAACACAGGTAAAATTGTTTAAAGAAACATGGAAGTCGTTAAAATTTTTACAATAGTACCAAGGTTTAAAATTTTGTAACAGTAAATAAATATGAATTACATAATACATGAGTAATAATTCAGGTTAATAACTGGTGAGTCACTAGAACATCTGATCTGAATTACTCATATTTATTTACTTTAAAATTCAATGACACTGACTTATTGTACAATTAATTGTATTCAATACGTTTCAGCACTGGTACGAACTAATCGTGAGTTGTTGGTTGCTTCAGTGGGGTTCTGTTATGGGTGTTTATGCCCTTTTTGGGTGTCGTAGACTCGTTTGCCTACATTTTATATATATAAAAAAATACGCATATGGAAAGACTATATCAAAATTCCATACAATATAGATCGATGTCGATCGCGGTCTTTATATAAGGTGTATTTAAACCTCATGCAACACATATTATACATATAGTAATTGTATAACTCAAATCAGATCTCCTATTTTATGTGAGATGTCATAAAATAGACCCAAAATATTTTGAGCCCATTTTTTTTAGAACAGGTGGCAATACGGGCAGTAGGCTCACCTGATGTTAGTGATACCCATGGACACTTTCAATTCCAGATGGCTCGCGAGTGCGTTGTCGACCTTTTAAGAATTGGTACGCTCTTTTCTGGACCCTAAGTCGAATTGATTCGGAAATACTTCAGTGGGCAGCTGGTTTCAAATAGTGGTGATGCGCACAAAAACTGCCTTAAAAACGCTTAGTTGTGTAACGACGGACGTCGAGGTGATACGGGTGGAATTTCGTATACTGCCTCACTACTATACTGGCGCCTTCGGACCAGTCTGTAGTTAGACTGGTCGAGGATCCTCCCTTTACGTTAGAGAAACGGTTTACCTTCACAAATTATACGAAAGGAAAATCAACATAAAGTTGTTTGTTACTTTGTGCGACAGAAAACAGGTTTTGTTACATAGTAGGCCAATTGTAGGAAACGAAAATTGCAAGACAATATACAAGGTCATCTAAATGCCACAAATCGTGAATTCGTGATGATATAATATTATCACGGAAAGAGAAATCATTTAATATTTTGATATAATAATATGAACATTTTAAGATAATAATAATTGCGTGTAGTGGTGTGTCTGATTTTTAAAATTCTAATCTACTATGGAACTACTACAAAAATTACTTAACTACTACTAGAACAAAAATAATTGAAAAGAAAGGATGTAAATGGGCAGTCTACGGCTAAAAGCAGTTGCTTCCAGACGGCTTCAATTATATAACTGTTGTGATATTAGTAAGACACGAGAAAAACATAGGATACTTAACCGCCCTTATCTTACTTTTATTAAAGTTAATGTGTAAATAAAGATATTTTCCACTTAAAAGTCACACCATAGAGTCATGAGCTTTTACAGGTATTTTTAAAGAAAATGGAACAGAGTAGGAATGCCGTGCCAGCAATGAGTTTAGTATTATTATAGAGTGCTCCAGTTCTTTGAACTAAAAAAAATATTAAATAATTACGTTAATGAAGTCACTAGAGTGAAAGTTACTACTTTATTTATATAGTAGTATAAAATGGGGAAATTAATTAAAAGTAATAATTGTCGTAATACAGCGAGGAAATATGCCAGTATTAAAGGTACACTGCCACAGGCGCCATACTTTTTAAATTTATTTAAGTGTTCTATTATCTATATTTATTACTAAGGTTAATTAAGGTAATGATAATTATTACGCTAAATAAAAAATATATTGAATTAAGTATGTATTTACTAACCTTCAAAGTCAATTTTGTGCCACAAACAGCGCACTTAAAGCATCCACTGTGGAAGAATGTGAAGTCCTTTAGCGGTCCAACTCTGTCCACTTGGTACACAATCTCGTTGCACCGAAAGCAGGTGCTTTCGTAAAAGTTTGGCCGATACATTGTGACACTTACGACATAGTTTCACTTCACTTGCACTTCACTTTTATATGATGATTCGTACTATACGCCTGAAATTTGCGATCGTATTTTATAACAAGGTTTTCGTTTTCCTATATTTTTACCAAAATTAATAAACTTATAATTTTTTCTAGCCTTAACACAACAAATATAAATTAAAAAGTAAACGTTGAGTACACTAAAATAGAATTGTCTAATAGACCTTTTTAAGAAATTTATGTCGGTAAAACCTACGCTCTGACATTGTCGATAAAAACGTTGCGTCTAATTGTTGTCCTATATGTTATTAATATACGGTAATCGTATATATTCTTACCCAAAGAAGCTTAGCACAACATCACTAGAAACTATGTTTATAAAGTCATTGAATGAGTTTGCATGTATAAATAATATTAAAGAAGAATAACCAAAGAAATAAGAAAACGGATATTATATACGATGTCAGTAATTTAACACACTAAAGGAGAAACATTTGTACTAACATTTTCTTGCCTTAATTATAGCGTTTGTATTGATTAAAGGTCCCCTCGTTACGCTACTATATGTAGGTATATCACGCCACGCACTTTAGGAAATACCGACTTAAGGTTGGGAATAGTTTTTTAAAATTAAGTTCCCTTTTTTTTGTTTATGTCGGAAATTGACGTCTTGTATTTTTTGAGTAACCGTCGTAGCAAAAAATATAAAATACACATTTTCAAATGTGTTTAATACTTGTAAATGTTCTAGATACTTTTTCAAGTATAACATTGAGCAGTTAAGTGATCAGCAATTGTTTTCCGTTTCTCTTCAGAAATAACTGGTGTTTATTAGCAAATCAGTGCTTGCAATAGGCTAGGCTTAGAGTAGTCTAAGTCATAAGATGAAGGGAACGAGTGATATTATTAATATAGGAATAATACCCAAAAAGGTATTTAGAAAATTTAAAAAATCAACTATTCTCATGAAATACCTGGATACTTATATCGCGTATTGGGCGTTGTTTAGATTTAATTAAAGAAAGGTTGTCTGTAAAGTCCGTTTACGGACGATAGATTAACGTGACAACGTCATAACAAAACATTGATTCATACAAAGAAGGAGTGAATGCTCGGACGCATAGGCCAATCGAGTGGAAGAGAGATAGATGCGGCGATAGCGTACTATGAGCGTAACGGGACAATGCATCAAGCTTTTTCAGCAGGGCATATGGATAAGGATTCAACAGGTATACATAATTATACAATTACAAAAATGTCACACATACTCAATTTTCAAAACGGGTCAAACTCCATTTTATAAGTGGGTAAAAATTAAAAAGAGGTTTAATTATTAATTAGTTCAGTTTTATAGCTTAAGATCATGTAAAAACTGTTATTTGATTGTTATGATTACTAATAAACAATAGCAAAATAGGTTTATAATATTTGGTTTTTTAGGTCTGGTCCTCAGATTGCTGTATCTGTTTTATGATCATTTGACAATCTAATATGCAAGTAGGTGATTAGCCTCCTGTGCCTGACACACGCCGTCGACTTTTTGTGCACATAATGGACACATAGAAAGACAATCCATTGGCCCAGCTGGCGATCGAACGTACGGCCTCAAGACTGAGAGTCACGATTAGCCAACGCTATACTATGTTTTAGAAAATATATAAATAAGGTAATTTATTTTTCACATATGAAAAATATATGAAGTATGATTGTTCTTGCATATTATCTTATGATTCGATCAGTATATATTTGTTTCTATAAGTGCTTTTTTTATTTTGTTTACAGCTGATGAAGACTTTTCTCCGTAATTGCCGTCTTTCTAGTAAGATTTTGAAGGTTATATTCCATAAATATTTTTTATTCCTGAACGGCGGATATCACATAACTTGCTCCATACGGTGAAGACATAACTATTGGAGCGTGCCGATATAATGATAGACTACAGCGTTCATCTGTGCGTTGTATTCCTTGTATGTAGCTGCATTCCATACTCGGCTATAAACGATTGTTAATTGTACTGTGTGTTTCAAAAGAAATAAATGCGTTTTGTAACAAATAAGTAAAGGAGGAGATAGAAATTTACAAATGTGTCATTATGATAATACGATTCTACCAAAAAAATATTCGTTGTCTTAAAGTTCATTTTATGATTTTTCAAAGGTTTAGAAAGATCCTTGTTTGGTTTAAAGGTTTCTTTAATGATACTATGATTTCAAAAATAAGTATTAATATACTCACTTTTGAAACCAAATTTTGAACAATCTTAAATACAAAAGCAAACTTTTTCATGTGATATTTTTTCGTCTAATTACGACCTAAAATCTCGAAGTCAAAGTCAAATGTTGTTAATCCTTGTAATTAATAGTGGTCAGTTTTGTGATTAATAATTTAACTTGTCTACAAACGTCTACAATGTTTGCTTGCGTAGGTGTGGATGTTTTAATCGCAAGCAAGCTGCATCGCTGGTGAGGCGCGTGCCCTAACACCATACTGGCGGTAATCGCGGAAAGGCTTGCTTACATGGGTCATTGAAATGGATTGTATGACACACGGCAAAACTTTTTTTGTATGGAGTCGCTCGGGCTGTTTTGGCGAGCGTAGCTTGGCCGGAGTGGGAGTTTTCCCGGGACTAGCGCAAGAGCGTGATTTTGCATTAACTAATATAATTTAGGACAATAAAACCCATGTGGACTTGTGATTGTCTGCTTAAGTAAAGATTTTTACCATTAAATGCGAATAATGTATATATATTGAAGATGATTATTTTTTATACCTACTTACTTAACATTCTATAGTTTATTGTATGTATTTTTTACAGAACAGGGGGCAAACGAGCAGGAGGCTTATCTGATGTTAAATGATACCGCTACGCCACCCATGGACACTCACATTGCCAGAAGGCTTGCAAGTTTGTTGCCGACCTTTTGAGAATTGGTACAAAAAGCCTAGTATGGCAGAATATGCGAACTTTAGTATCACCATAACATTTTTGTACCATATTCTTACAAATAAATTATTATTATGTTTTTATAACTTGCCAGGATCTGATAAATTAGAAATTAGAATATTAAAAAATATGCTTTAATTCGATATTCAATTATATTATGTCGTAGGTGGTCTATGATTTTTAAGAAAGGTGACACAAATGCGACCGGTTTTCAAACATTTATGGTTTTATTTGTAGTGATGTCATCTTTGAATACAATATGCGCAAATTTTAAGAATTTTTGCGAATACTAGTATATCACCAAGAGACATTACAATACTATTCAGATTTCAGAGAGGGTTCAGAGGAGTTGTTAGGATTAATCTGCAGCTCAGTTTCATCATCGAACGCCGAGGCAGACTACGTAATTCCACCCGTATCACCTCGACGACCGTCGTTCCACAACTATGCGGAACCAGCTACCCACTGAAGTATTTCCGAACCAATTAGACTTAGGGTCCTTCAAGAGAATCGTACCAATTCTTAAAAGGCCGGCAACGGACTTGCGAGCCTTCTGGCAATGTTAGTGTCCATGTATCACTTAACATCAGATGAGCCTTCCGCCCGTTTGATTTCTATTACATTAAAAAAAAATCAATTCATTACACAAACCGAGTGTTAGTAACAGATTGGGAGCAGTTTCGTAATTTTTCTTGTTACTCAATTCTATTGAACTATACGTCTGTATAATCAGCCCAGTTTCTACCGTAGAAAGTGATAATATTTGAACAACTCAACAAACTGAACATCGTTTTTATCTGCTATATTGCATGTGTTATTTATTGTATGAATAAATCGAAAGTGTCTAAGTCACTCCATTGCTTTAATAAGTTAAACCTGTAATGATTTATATAGCGTTTTAACTAAATTTAAATTTTCTGTACCCTCTAGATAACCCAGGCCCTCCCTTCATTTGTCCCTCCTTTCAGAATAACGCGTTTTGTCCAAAACTCACCTATATCCAGATTGAGCATTATGATAAACGAGCTAGGTAAAGATATTGTTGTTGATCACATTTTGAAATAAAATTTTCCTTTAGTTTTTATATTTTTTTTATCTCGTGTTTGTTATGCCTATAAGTGCTTGTCACATTACATGTTGTATTTTGTTTTTATTGAGTGTACCGAGCGTTGGCAAGCTATTGTAAATAAATACATTATTCTACTTTTAAACTGTGCTAGTATTGCAGTATCTAAACTACCGGTTTTCAGGTTTCCAAATAATTAAAAGGATTTGGTCACAGATGCAACAAACATACATAGCAAAATGCTATACAAATTTAAATGTTTCACAACACAACACATAGTTTCTTTAGGCAGTTTTTGCGTAGGTACTACCACTATCTGGAACCAGCTACTCACTGAAGTGTTTCTGAACAAATTCGACTTAGGATCCTTCAAGAAAACAGCGTACCAATTCCTTAAAAGGCCGGTAACACACTTGCGAGCCCTCTGGCAATGTGAGTCTCTACAACAACACTCTAATTAAAAAAAATGGATTATACAAGACAAGTTTAAATTAGCGTTTTAAATTTGACCTTCAGAAAAATCGTTACTTTTCTGAATCAAGTTACATCAGTCGATTTCATTTTTATTGCTTCCTTCACATTTAAGTGGGAAGTGCTTTTGGCGTTGGTCAACGCATGTAGGTTTGTCGTGGGACGAAGTACTTTTACTACATCAATGGACCATTCATGAATACTACATGCTGCATTATCGTTTTGCAAGGTGAGGTAAGATACACACACTTTGGATTTAAGTAACAGAAATATTAAATCGAATACAATAATAATCATAGATATCATAAAATCTTCAGAAACGATTTAAAAAAAAGGTTTTGTCGCTTAAACAAACTTACGCCAAACCTAAACCTATGTTGTGTCAGCCTTTTCGATAATTAAAATTACGGGATTGATTACCCAGATGTTCACGGTGGATTCCTGTCGTATCTTAACATGTTCAGGGTTAGACTAAGTGCTGCCTGTCTTTGTAGCAATACAGTTGAAGTGACAGATTCAGATTGTCCTGTCCATGAGGGAAGACAAATTATTGGATTTGCATTCCCTAATTGCCTCAAATTTATGTCATAAAATCTGATAAAAGCCAAGAGGCTGATTGCAGATGGATACAAAAAAAATGTCCTGACTGATTGTCCAATGTATAGATACGACGGAACAGAGTAACAGTTAAAGAAACAGAGACGAACACTGTTTTTTTTTTTTTTAGTTTTTTCTTTATATTCGATTTAAATCCCCCTTTACGAGAAAAGCTAAACGTGAATAATTTGTACATAACGCGTTATATGGGGTCAACACACGTGTTCTCCTACAACGCGTTTCCTATAACGCGGAACCAATCTACCGTGTTATAAGTACTGTGTTATAGATACTGTATTATGTTTTAATTTATAAAACTGTGACGAATCTATATACGGCTAAAGGATCAGGTTACCAAAATGGTTATTTGCTAAGTCCAAATAAGCGAGGGCGGTGTGCCCAACTTATAAATGACCAATTTCGGTCATAAAAACCTTTGGCTATATAAATAGCTATTTTATTGCAAACTATAAAGTACTAAATGTCATGTGGCAGATATTTCCTTCTGTTTCATCGACAATTTTACTGTTGACACTGATTGCTATTTGTCTCTATGATATGCCGGTTTTTTGCGGCACTATAAGTGCTAATTGCGCCGCTAAAAATCCATTGGTCAGGATTTGCCTAACCTAAAGTAAGAATCACACGTTTGACTACTACATTTTGTAGGCCATTTACGGCTACTGAACATATGCAGAATTTTTGTTAGAAGTTTCATAGTGACGTCATCGGGGCATGATATTTACCATAGTAGACCAACTTGCAAAAAACGTCTTGTATATTAAACACAAAATCCTAGTGGTTATTGGTACAGATGAATAAATCCTACGGCTCGTTGCGATAACGATTGGTATTTGAGTTGAACCTAAGTCAAATTAACACATCGCAAACAATGACTAATAAAATACGTTTTTGGATGTTTTATGCGGGTTTTTAAATCTCTAAGACAATTTTAATTAACGTTCTGTTTTAGTTAAGTGATAAAACCGGCATATTTTAAAAGTAATATATATTTCATTGTTAGCAATACGATTTTGGGTTTTGATTAGACACAGTTAATGGCAGTGGCGGCAAATTTATGCTACGTAAGAATCTAATAAGATCGCAATCTAAAAACCTTTTTAACAAAACCTCATTTCATATAACGCTGTCGCACTGGCAACCAATTTCACAATAAAAAACACTGACACAGGCAATAAATGATTAGAATACGTGCTCACTTTTGAAAAAAGAACGAATCTTGGCTATGGCGTTTCACATACTTTTCAATTTGACAGCTGTCAGATTATTCGCGGGACGCGCGCCACTTGCGGGGGCCGGTCGAACACTGGCCGCCCGCAATTGTTTACGGCCAGTGTTGCGTCGAAATGTCAAAGAATCAACAGGCAAGCCGCAGAAGGCTTTGCGTATTTAGCAATGTTACTCTGTGAGGCTGATTTTGTACAATACAAAGTTATCGAAGGCGAAGCGAGCATTTGTGGCATATGTCCGTTATTTTAGGAAAGTAAATATTGTTTATCTGGATAACTGATCAAGCTTCAAGTTAGACTTTAAGTAACAAAACCAAAAATATAGATAAATTTACTTATGTAAAAAATTGTAAATATAAAGAAATTTATAGAACTATAATGCGATTAATATCTTAACAGCCAACATAAATGTTTAAGTTATACGCCATTTTTTTTTAAATATACATGATTCATTAAAAATAGCACAGATTATAAATTTATCTTTGAGGAGAGATTCACAAGAAGCGGCGCGGGCCACAACGGGGCATTCCGAACTAAATCGCCCGCTGGAGAAAGTAAACTACGATTATAACAGCCTTATACAAATGCATTGAAAACTGTACCTTATTATAATTTATCAAAGTCTGAAATGTATTGAAATCGAAAACACGAAGTCATGGCACTACAGGTGAAGTAATACCTGCAAGCTGTTAATGGAATTTGAATTTAGAACCTAAATTTAAATATAAGCAGGTTCCATATGAGTATGTTAGATATATGCGTGATTAAAGCATTTAATTATAGTTATTTATTATGTATACATCATTTACATATTAATTAATTTTTTTGTTAATGTATATTAAACATTCTAAGAATTTCGGAATGGCTTGATTTGCCGATGTGCGTTTTTCAGTCGATATAAAAGATATCAACGCGCTTGATGCATCTTTTCTAAATAAATACATTTAAAACGCAATTAAAAATAAATTTTCTCTAAATTTATTTATTGGTAGAAATTACAAATAATATATTATTTATACAATTTATATTAGAGTATTTAATTTTGATGGATTCCATCGAAAATAATAACTCCAGAAGTGGACATACATAGTATCGATAATAATATCGTTAAAATTCATACAATTTTTATTGTTCATAACAAAATATTTTTTCAAAAGCATACATACATAAACATTTGCCGATATTTTTCACTAGGCGTTAATTGAGATCCTTATTCATTCTTAAAACTAAGTTAGTAAAATAAATACTATGTGATTGCATTATTAAGAACTATTTATACAACGTTTACATTAATGTTACCATATTATAGCACTTTGACATATTTTTCTTCTGATAATAGACAATTTTGATTTTTGCTGCGTCATATAAAATATTATGTTTTCATGTTACACAATTGCTATAGTAAAAATGACAGGAGCGATTTTTAATTTATAACCTATGTTGTCCTATGTTGAAGTATTCTGCTTGTGCAACAGCAATTTAATGATAATTGTCTTATGAAGAATTTATTATGTCAAGTACCTATAATAACATTAATAAGTCAAATGGAAGAAACGTGCTATCCACGACAAAGGGAATGTTAGTGTGTGCAATTTCTTTGTGTCTTAATATGTGTAATAAAGATTTTTCTTTCTTCCTTATTTTACGTAAATTGTTTGCACATCTCGAGGATTTATGAACAGAAAATGAGTTCGATATTATGGAACTTTATGCTGATTCCGCTTTTTGTTGGTGTGAACAGACCTCGTGCTGTGAAACTAGTTGATGCTTACTTTTCGGCTGCAAGAGGTCTGTACCCCAGGTCCACTGTAAATAAAATGCATACAATTAATACTTACAGTATACAATATAGCACGTATCCGAATGGTTTTCTTGTGGCACGATTTTTTGCGATCTTTTCAAAAATATTCGTTATATTTCAGGAAATACACAAAATAAAGACTAATAAAATCTTGATAAAGACTTGCCCTAATACTCTGATTTGATATGTATGCCCTAACAGCATGGTAATAGCGGGAAGGATGGATTGCCCGCCCTGCCCTTACAATGGACTGAATGTGCCCTTTTTAATTTTACGATTTAATATACTTTAAATTTTACCTACTAATATAATATTTAGGACAATATTGTAACTACTACAATAATAAACATATGCACTTATGATTGTCTGCTTCAATAAATATTTTATTATAATTATTAAGCTTTCATCAGAAATCTCACCTATGAGTAATAAACGTGTAATGATTTATTGTTGCGTTAAAATTCGAAATGCGGTCATTTTCATTTTATAATGTAAATACACTGAGTAATATGCTTTCCTTGTCTATCTTCTTCGAAGATCTAGTAAATTACATCTCTTGTTTATGGGTATATAACGAATAGTTGTGATAGACAAGTTGGGTACAAATCAACAAAGAAATTTCTTGCGTGGCTTGGTAGATTCGGAGAGTAAAACTGTCGGTATATATTTTCATGAATATTCTATAATACAAGGAGCTGGCAGGAGCACTGTAAGATTTTATAAACACATATTTTCTCCACAGCTTTAATTGCGTTAATAACCTGGACTATGATAACTGATATCAGTTATCATAATTTTGGGTTAATACATAGTACTGATGCAGAGCACTCAAAACTATACACTATTATAATGGAGGCACTGGACAGAAACCAGTGGAAACATATTATGCGCTCCAGAAGTTTTCTATCTGTACACGAAGCTCAAATTGAGAATTGTTATGACTTTGCTAGCTAATAATTTAGAAGTAAAGTGGCAAATTATAATGAACTTACAACGAGAACAGAAAAAGTGAGACCGGTGAAGTACCCAGCGAGAACATCACTCCAGTGGTGTTTGTAGTCGGTAACACGTGACAGGGCCGTGTACCAGCTTAACATGACAGCTGTGAATTGGAGTACGTGGCGGAAGATCCTAGTGCTGCCCCAGACCATGCGTTTTTCCAGGTAGAGCTAAAATTTTATTAATTTACGATAAAATAAAATATACATATATTTCAATTATATAAAGGCCTACAGTTAGATTTTTTCCTCAAATTTAGTCTAAGGCCCTCGAAGATTAAGTAAGGAATACAGCGAACGTATTAACCTATAAATATAAGAATGAATTGGTGTTCATTAGTCTTGCTAAAACTTAAGAATGGCTGGACCGATTCGGTTAATTATGATCTTGAAATATTTGTGGAAGTACAGGGAATGTTTAAACGGGAACCGAAATAATTATAAAATAAACAACTATTGAATTTTTTAATAAAAACTTCTAGCTGGGAAATAATGATGTCTTTCGTCTTTTTACAATTAAAATGTCACTTATAAATTCATAGACGCCTTTAGATTTATTAAATGAATCGTATATAGATAAGACCTAAACATAACAATCAAATATACAATTTTCTTTCGAAATTTGTATTACAAAGCTGTAGTACGAGGATATCTTTAGTCTGTTTTAAAAAATTTGTGTTAAATTTGACACATCTAGTGAATAACTATTTAAACCTCTCTAGTTCTGAAAATAGATGTTCTTGAAATTGTTCTATTTGAAGAAGGCCTTTTGAGGAATTTTTGGCCTTAAGGCCAAAGGCCTTTAGCCAAGACAATTAACAAATATACTCACAGCTAAATATATCATAGTATACGCTGACCATGAGGAGTGACCACTTAGGAAGGACATGTGCATGTCATTGAACTTATCAGTGTAATTATTGCCAGTGCATTCGAACTCATGACTCTCTATGTAACGATGTTGCCACTGTGACAAGCTGCAATTTACATTTGGACGGCAAAGCTGTAAGATAATTAATATGAAAATGTTTTGAGTTTTTTATTTCGGGACATTTATCAAATTAAATGTTAATTGAACTTGTTTGGTAAAGGGGTTTTTAATAATCATTTTTACACATAAATTTATATATGGACTAAAGCCCACTATCAGATACGATTGAATACCAATAGCGCTGCCTTTTAGGGCCTCAGATGTCTGTATCTGTTCCGTGATTTCTAATAGTAGGTGATCAAGCTTCTCTCGACTCTCTTTCATGAGGTCGTAGGTTCGAACCGGCTGTGCACCAATGGACTTTCTTTCTATGGGCGCATTTAACATTCGCTCGAATTCTGAAGGAAAACATCGTGAGGAAACCGACTTGCCTTAGACACAAAAAGTCGACGGCGTTTGTCAGGCACATGATGCTGATCACCTACTGGCCTAATAGATTGACACTTGATTATGAAACAGATAGAGAAATCGGAGGCCCAGACCTAAAAAGATTTTAGCGCCACTGATGGTAAATAATAATAATAATAAGCCTTTTTATTTCCTGTTTTACAATAGTTGGTAGTTGTTATATTAAAGTAACCAAAAATATTGATTTTGTTAGTAGGTTAGTGACTGATGGTTATTCATATTTAATTAATTTTAATATCCGTTTAAAAAGTTCTATGTTTACATATTTACATTATAGAAAGCTTATTACTATGAATATGATATTTATAATACACAATGTGAATAAAACTTCATACTTTTAATTCTCTAAAGATTTTCTTTAACTTGAGAAATAATTAATATAAAAGATACAATATTTACAATAGGTAAAGAACCTACATATACATAATTATAATTAAATTTACAACAAATTTAAAAGTCCCTGTAAACATGTACATAGAATTCAAGATGGTTGTAAATCAATTACTTACATCAAAGAAATGAGGCCGTGGTCTTCCGATGACGTTCTTCGCAACATTTGTTGTCAGTTCAACAAAACACATACCATACGAGAAGCAGGCAAACACGCAATAGAATCCTCTCATCCATAAAGGCAGAGGAAACTTGAAGCATGGCTCATCATCTTCTTTTCGAAGTAACATCCATTCGCAAAATAGAATCTGAAAGAATAAGTATCGTGCTAACTCTGTTAGAATGACGAAGGATCGCAATTGTATATTTTTGGCAACACTCGGGATGTGAACCCGGTACCTCATGAGACCCGAATAAATTAAGAGCAAATACTTTTTTACCATCCAAACTTTTTAACAAATTCAAAGACTAATATCAGAACGACATTGTGGCGTTGTTTTTTTTAAATTGAAACTGGCGGACTTTTTCCTTTCGAACGATCTCTTCCAGGCAACCACTGTGAAATAAGATAAGGTGATCGCAAGAAGTGCAAAACTACATAACTTACTTAGATAAAACTAATGGAACGAACTAAAGCAATTGAAACATATGTAAACCGTGGAACGGACAATAAAAAAAATGTTTGAAAATTGTAAATAATACAATAGTATATTAATTTTTTACAGCCGCTTACTAAATTTGATTCATCACAGATAATGATAACGACATAACATCACAGATAACGACAGATGTGAGGTTTAGAGACTGGAGACACTATAGAAAACAAAATAAGCTCCTAGTTATAATCGTTTACTCAATAAAGCGCGCATTAGCTATCAAAGTTGTCAGTTCATCTCTTACCATTATAGCAGGTAGGCCTATCCCATACAGCCTCAGCATATCCGTTGAAACCGTGTCAGATTTGTAGGGGTACATAAGGCTTTCATCACCGCAGAAAAATCCACGTTGAAATCCTTGCCATACATCTCTCGTAACAATTACCAGCGCAATCACTGAAAATATAAAAATTTAATGTTTCGTGCAACAAAATTAATTTAAACTAAATTATAAATTTGTAAGTTTTGAGGTTGTATCTCTGGATCTACTGAACCGATTATGAAAATTCTTTTACCAAGAGATAGCCACGTTATTTAATGACATTCACAAAATTTGCGATAAGTAATATTAAGTCAAGTATCGCCAGCCGTATTTGCAAAATAAGTCCGAAAAAAAAGGTCGAACTAAAACGTTTCTTAGTAATGCTGCTGAATGATGAGAGATATATTATGGAGAACTAGAGAGAAGTTTGAGCTTAATTTTGACTTGACAATGTCTAATAAATCGACGAACGCCGGGTGCCACGAAACACATGATTCATTGTCCCGTTACGCTCATTGTACGCTTGCGCCGCATCTACCTCTTTCCCGTATCCACACAAAATAGTGATAATTCAATAAAAATTATTCAATTTTATTCATAAAAGTCATAACATCAATGTTTAACGTTACACGTTAAACTGGGGTCACCGGTACTATCTACCAGGCGCCAACTTAAATCTTTAACTAGCGCCTGTATACTTTAATCCCAAGGCGCAAGAGTCTCTATTCCAAAGGGAACAAGTCGATGTTGGAAGAAAGATTTTGTATGGCGAGTCATTTTCAAAATAAGAATTGAATTTCACCAGAAGACTATTCAACATTTTCATAGTAAGGTACAAAAATCAGAGGTGTAATAGAGTTGTATAAAACTCATAATACAATTCTATAATAAGACGTTCTTATCGTCAAACGTATTAATATCAAACGAGGAATCGAAGCATGACTCTTCCTTAGATATCCTATCATTTATCAAACACGTAACTTGTCCATGACAGTATCGACCCCAAGCAAAGATATTTATGTTATATGTATTCCTAAAATGGCTTTAACATGCTAAATGTTTAAAGATAACAAAATGACCTGAACGTCATCCTATGAATGTACTTTCCATCGTCTATTTTTCAAGTGTAATTTTGTGGGGCGATTTTCATAATTTTGAATTAAAAATGTTATTATTTTTTGTTTTTTATTTTGTGGTTGCTTGTTTAATTTCTTCCCTTGCTAGCTTGTTTCTGGTCTAATATAATAGATATGTTTGTGTGTAAAATTTAGATGTCATATTTTCTTGTATAATTTAATGCATACATGTATGTTTTAGAACTTATAAATAAATAAATAACCATGCACGCAAGTCCGTTGACCGATAAAATTGCAGTTGTGCTACGATGAAGCTTAAATGTTCGCATTTATTGGTATTCCTTAGCTTTTAGATTGATGTACTATTAAAACCAAATATATTTGTACCGCCTAACAGTCAATGAATGTCATGTTACAAATAAACTGAACTGAAAAGTGATGCAATGAATATAAATATAAAACACATATTAAGTTCACTACTTTTTATAGAAATTAACATAAAAAGAAATAAGCTTCTTATTTGACTACCTATATAGGTACCATAGAGTAAAAATAATTTCAATATTAGTATATCACTTTCCTTTTAAGTCAAGAAAATTGAAATAGTTTAACTTACTAAGGAGAAACCCTAAGAAAATTACTTTTGACCAGGCGATTTGTGAAAATTTCGTGAGAGAAAATATCATTTCGCTTTCAGAGTTGATAAAAAATGCATGAATAAAATTTTCATATAAAGTGAAAATTATCACGCGCACATAATTAAATTTGTACGTAAATAATGTTTGTAATCGTTCAAGAAAGCAAGTAGGTTACTGCTAACCAATCCGAAACAGTTATTAAAGCGTTGGTTCACCTACGAGCTAAGTGCCTTAAGCACTGAGCCAAGGAGTGTTATTACTAGAACCCTCAACTTTGAGATTGTGGGTTCGGAACCCAGCTGTGCACTATTAGATCACTCATACCATGCATGAAAGTAAAAAATCGACGGCGTTTCAAGACTATAAAGAAAGTTTAACAAAGTAACAAAATATATAAATCTGTGATCCAAATGTGCCACTGGACATCATTACCATGTTACGAAGGCAGGAAATATTGTAATGGTTTAAGACTGTGTCACTATTAGAAAAATAAGCATAAATGAAATAACTTGTTCCAATCTTCTCGAACTGATACCATTTAATGTTCCTGCCAGATCTCTGCGCTCGCACAGAACTTTTAACCATTCGACTCCCAGAACCAACATTGGGTTCCGTGAGCCTCTTCACAGGATGTGTTCTGCCTTGGATTCTGCCACTAACATTGACCCTTTTTCGCACTCCTCTACTGCTTCGTTTAAGAATAAGTTAAAACACTTAATGTCTTAATCTTCCTTGTTTTTTTATATAGCTGCTAGTTTGTCGTTCTCCTAATTTATAAATTTTGTGCTGTCATGTTTTGTCTTGTTTTACTTTGTATTGTATTTTTTACCAGTGAAACTTTTTGTGGATATGTCCAATGTGTTTATTTTATGTTTTACTTTTATATTATTTACTGTATAGAGATGTATCTGTTTAGTTTCCTTAATAAATAAATAAAATAGATATTTAAAGATTCAACGATAAGTGGAATTTTGATCACAAAAAAGAGTTAAGATGCGTAAAATACTATGATTACGAAATCATTATAACGCTTTTAATATTTTTAGTAAATCTTATATTAAAATAACTCGATAAAAAACTAATTGTAAACTTTTTGTCGTATTTTTGCTGTCACTTAAATTACTTGGTTTTTATTCATGCGTAGTTCGATGGCAGGCGAAAATTAAGGTTAATTATCTACTTGCCTATTAAGAAAAATTGGAATAACACATTGAAGTACAAATTATATCACATACAAATATATATAGAACATACATATTATTTGTTACAACTATTCCATAAAATAAATGCGAGAAGCAAAAATATGGTGAGCGATAATTTTTACTTATATTTACCCATTTTAGATATTATTTTTAGATTTAGGAATATTCTAGAAGGTACTAATAGTTCAAATTAATTAAAATATATTGAAACTAAATATATAAAAATTTAAAAAGCAACTGAACCATTGTTAAGTGAAAAATAACAGGAAAGTTCTAAAAATTAATACTTAAAGGAAAATGCTACTTTAAATTTGAAGCTTAAAATAAGAAGTTCAACTCACGTGTACATATACAAAAGCAGTCGATAACGAATTTTCTCAGCAAATGCATAGATCTCTCTTCTCGCGACATCTTGACGTACACAGAGCAGATAGACTGAGCCAGTCACTCCTCGTACCGTATTTATGTAGCTGGTGTAAGATTACTATCTTTATTAGGAATGGTTTAATATTCGTCCTGTTTTGCTTACACAATTTAACTGAAGTAAGATATTTTTCGTGTTACTTTATCACCTATTTTCAATAGTATTCTAATTTTAAATTATTTTGCCACATAATAATTGAATTGTTTTACTATAAAATAAAATACGACGTCGTGAGAACAATTTTACTGGGGAAACCCCACCTAGGGTACATAATAGAGTACGTGAAGTTTCGGTAAAGATATATATATTTGAATTTAAAAAAAATTAAGTTAATATGTAGAAGGTATCTTCAAATAGTGTTTGTTTTGTGTGACCATAAGTAATTTGTTACTTTGAATTTGTAAGGCTGGCTTTGTAAGGCTTTTTCAGAATTAGTGTAGCCAATGTTACTCGTAAATAATATAGCATTCTAATGGTGAAAGAGTTTTGGAACTCAAAAACTCCTGATATGAGTTAATTCCATACTTAAAGGTTTCCTGATATAGATTGAATATATAGTGTCTTTGTGTATGTCTGAATTTGGGGCTTACTGGTAATCAGTGCAGTGGTAATTTTTGCTAAAAATTAAATCATCATTACTCTGATGATGGTGGTATTAACACCACATATTATTAACTAGTTAATTACTATTTTTGGTTTATATATAATTTTCATTCCTTATTTTTAACTATGTTACTCGTAAGTTTTGTGAAGAAAAATTTCCACGTTCATAATAAATTGTTTACGTTATTATCGTTTTAAAAGTCAGATGGAATAAACAGAAAAATGTATGCGGTTATTTTTAATTTACTGCTATCGTTTAAATTTAATCCGAGTTTATTAACCTATTCACAATTCACGAAGTTAACTATATGTATTATCTAAATAATATTCATTTTAATAATAACATGTCATATGACGTACGTCCCACAAAAATAGCTTATTTACGTCGATCTAAATGATAATAAATATATGTAGGTTACAATTATTGAATAGTTTTGTATAGATTTATTTTTAAAGTAGCTCAAGTTACCTCTATTAAAACCAAATCCAATTTTAAATTAATAAATTTATTAATATATTATTATATTGTATTATTAGTTTTTGTTTAATATAGATCTTAAGAAACTATTGTTAATAACTTACTAATCAATCAATGGACTGTATTTGTCTGATGAATAAAATTATTATTTAAAAAAAGTCTGGGTAATTAATGTTTTCTGCAGCAATATACTTCGTTCTTTTTAACCTGTTCACGTCACATGCTTGACATAGGCTGTCCCCTACATTTCCAGTACGATCGCCTTCCCTCCACCATCACCAGGTCATCTGACCACGGGCCAGAGGCCGGCCAACGCTATGACTTGGGCCTATGCTTGGAGAGAGGATAAAAAAAAAATCTGTAGCGCTACAACCTTTTTAGGTCTGGGTCTGATTTCTGTATCTGTTTCATGATCATTTGTCAATCTAATAGGCAAATAGGTGATCATCCTCCTGTGCCTGATGCACGCCATAGACTTTTTGGGTATAAGGCATGTTTCCTCACGATGTTTTCTTTAACCGATTGAGCAAAGGTTAAATGCGCATGTAGAGAAAAAGTCCATTGGTGCGAAGCCGGGGATCGAACCTGTCGTAGGTTGAAAGACGCTGAAGCCACTAGGCCAATACTGAGGATTTCTATTGTTTAATTAAAATTAAATTTATAGTTAAACTATGGTCAATAACTAAATGATAATACATTCAGGGCACACCTGTCACAGATAACTAATCCATGGCAACACATTTTTATCACAAAAAGTCCACTATTACATGCGAGAAAATAGCCGCTATGGTGTGATTCGTGAGTCGTGGAGGCGTGTTCGTAAGATAATCGTTATCTAGAAACACATGTGCTGCATGTATATTTCGAGTTGCGATTTTTAACCCAATGAAATTATTAGGGTAAGGAAATGGCGTGACACAAAATTGGTGAAAGTCTTATAAAAGGTTATGGCACTGGTTGATTATTATTTATGGCCTCCAGTTTTTTTTAATAGCGACCCTATCATTAAAAGCAGTGTAATTGTAATTGATATGTGTTTTTTTATAGTACAGGGGGCAAACGGGCAGGACGCTCACGTGATGTTGAGTGAAATAGCCGCTTATGGACACTCAATGCCAGAGGGCTCGCGAGTGCGTTGCCGGTCGTTTAAGAATTGGTACGGTCTTTTCGTGAAGGACCCAAAGTCGAATTTGTTCGGAAATATTTCAATGGGCAGCTGGTTCCACATAGTGGTGGTGCGCGGGTAAAACTGCCTTAAAAACGCTCAGTTGTTGAACGACTGACGTCGAGGTGATACGGGTGGCATTTCGTATTCTGCCTCGACGTCCGATGATGAAACTCAGTTGCAGTTATTAATCCGAACAACTACTGTATTTTAGCCATACATTTTTGAACAAGACTGAATTTAGTACTATGAAAGATTAATTCGTTTTTATAAGTTCAATAAATTGTTTATTTCTTAACATATTTATTGGCCTTTATCACCTCAACCACTGGTGATTGAGTGTAAAAGCGTTCTATATAGCTGTTCCTTTCATTTATAATGCTATAAAAAAAGACAGCGATAACTTTATATCTCTAAAAATAATCTAAAGGAAATAAAAATTTATTACGAATGAACTTAATGTATAGAAAACACATTTGTAATTATAACTGACATGGGGTAAACACGCCAGCTGAAAAGGTAAATAAAATCATTAAATATGTGTCACCGACCTATGAATAAAATCATTTTCTGATGTTAATTAATACAGCTGTTAGTTTTACAACAAAATTAACTACCGATTTAGTCATGATTTAACCAACTTTTTACAAGTAATTTATCTTCTTTCTGACAATTCATAAGTGTACTTGTTTACCTACATGAATAAAGATAGTTTGAGTTTAACTATCTCTTGATTTACCCTGATCACAATTTGACGGAAGGATTTGATTTAGTTGAAATGGAGCCCAATAAAAATATTTTACGTGGTATTTCAATAAATCACCACTGAACCACGAAGATTGAAATGTGTTTGCGTATATTTCGAATATAATAAATTATAAATGACGTCAACTGTAGATAAGAAGTGATGTAACATTAGTTTTGTTTAAGGAAACTCTCAATAGATACTATATATATTATATTTACATAGTTCTCTATCGGAATAATGATAAAATGCTATTTTTATCTAATTTATATATACTTTATAATTAATTTAGTAATAATAGCTATCTATTTGAAAAATTGGCAAAACTTACATTATGCCCTAAATCAGAATTGACAATGGGCATATAGCAAAATACAGAGATCAGATGGACTGATGAGAAGTTGGGGCCCTAAGAAAAGTTGGATAGAAGATATATAAGCGTTATAGAAAGCGAATGGAGAAAGAAAGTCATGTCAAATCAATCAAATCAAAATACGTTTATTCAATTTAGATGCTTCTTAGAGCATGCTTATGAATGTCAACAACGTTTCAAAATTCACGAAAGAGCAAGACTACGCCATCTGTTCGCAAAACTACCAGGAGGCCTTGTTCTGAGAAGAACGGGCAAGAAACTCAGCAAGTTTTGCCCTCCCTTTACATTACAATTATTCAAAGGAAAATGTCATAAACCACAACGTCATTAAAGTTACATAAGTAAAAAAAATAAAAATCTGTTCTGTGATTTACCACATTCACCATTACACACATATTCATAACACTTCAAAGATAACCAATCAAATTATAAGAATATAATTAGAACTATTGCCAAGCGTTTTTATCTTCCAGGTAGTCATTGACTGTGTAGTAACCTTTACACATTAAGGTTTTTTTGATATGTGTTTTGAATCTGTTCAAAGGCAGTTCCAATATTTCACTAGGAATCATGTTATAGCAGCGTATACTTAGGTCCATAAATGAAGTATTTATTTTCTGCAACCTGTAAGACGGCTGGAAAAGTTTTCCCTTATTTCTTGTATTCCTATTGTGAATGTCGCTGTTCTTTAAAAGAGAACTAATATTACTACGCACAAAAACGATACAGTTGTAAATATATTGGGAAGGTACCGTCAAAATATCGATTTTCTTGAACAAATTTCTAAGTGAAGTGCCTGGTTTCAAGCAATAAATTGACCTAATATGTAGCACGTTTTTGCAAGATAAAAATAGATTGTATATCTGCTGCTTTGCCCCATAAAAGAATTCCATACGACATAACGTTGTGAAAGTAACTAAAATATACTATTCTGGCAGTTTCCTCGTCTGTGAGTTGCCTAATTTTCCTAATAGCGTATGCCGCAGAACTAAGCTTGTCAGAAAGTTTAGTGATATGCTGACTCCATTGAAGTTTTTGGTCTATTGTAATGCCCAGAAATACCGTAGAATCAACTAAATTTATTATTATATTTATTTCATTGTTCAATTTAAGCTCTATAGTTGTAGTTTTAACATTAGGTAAAGTAAATCTTATGCATTTTGTTTTTGTGGCATTTAATTGTAAATTATTTGCAGAAAACCAGCACGCTATTTCAGAAAGTGCATTGTTCACATCGCCAAAATTTGTCTTATATCTATTTACTTTAAAAATCAAGGACGTGTCATCAGCAAACAATACAATATCACATAATGGCTTTGCATAAGAAGGCAAATCGTTAATATATATAAGAAATAAAAATGGTCCCAATATTGATCCTTGCGGGACTCCCATTTTAATGTGTGATCCCGAAGATTTAGTTCCATTTATATCAACTTTATGAGTTCGACAACTTAGGTAAGAGGTTATTAAGTTAAGAGCTACATTTTTTATACCATAGTGGTCAAGTTTGCAAAGCAGAGTCTCATGATCAACACAATCAAACGCTCTGGACAAATCGCAGAAAACTCCCAGTACATTTTGAGTTTTCTCCCATGCATCAAATATATGTCGTAACAGAGCTATTCCAGCATCGGTAGTGGAGCGACCTTTAGTAAAACCGTATTGTGCGTTGTGTAGAAGACTGTTTGTATTAAAGAATGTAATTAATTGTTCTAGTATAATTTTTTCAAAAACTTTACTTAAAGTTGGCAATATTGAGATGGGTCTAAAATTAGTAGGTTCTGTCCAGCCCTGCGATTCTGTAACTCACTTTTCGAACTCACACAGCGGTTTTCGCATCGGCGGTCGCTCTCAAATCAGTCGTGAAGCAGTCATTTTATGATTTGGCATTCTGAAAAGGTGGGAGCTTGTAGTTTATTGTTTATTAGAATGCCAAATCATAAAATGACTGCTTCACGACTGATTTGAGAGCGACCGCCGATGCGGAAACCGCTGTGTGAGTTCGAAAAGTGAGTTACAGAATCGCAGGGCTGCATCCAGATTTAAATAACGGTATTATTTTACTATGCTTCATTAAATCTGGGAAACTTCCTTCATCTATACAATTGTTAAAAATATACGCAAGATCTGGGGCAATAATATCTATAATGTCCTTAATAATACGTACAGAAACATCCCACAAGTCTCCAGAATGTTTTAATTTTAAAGATTTAAAAGTTTTAACTACATCACCAGCGCTAACGTGCTTAAACTGAAAATTTATTTTGCAGTCCGGTACGTGACTTTTAAGAAAACTAATAGCCTCTTTGGGAGAGGAATTCAGAGAAGATGTAGTAATTACAGGTATGTTTGTAAAGAAATCTTCAAAAATATCAGCAATCTCTGAGCTTTCAACAATAATCTTATCATCTACCTTTAAAAAGAATGAATTATTACGCGATTTAAGGTTTCCTGTTTCTCGATTTATAACATTCCAAGTAGTTTTGATTTTATTACTTGAATTCTTAATTTTCTCACGTATATGCAATGCCTTTGTATATTTGCAAACTTTTCTAAAAGTTTTGGAATAATTTCTGACATATTCCATAAACACTGCGTTGTGATTATATTTTCTTAATGCATATAATTCATAAAGCCTATTCCTACTCTTAAAAATACCACTCGTGGCCCAGTCATCAAACTTGATTTTTTTTGTTGCACTTTACAGTCTTTAATGGGTAAATACTATCAAACTCATTTTGAATAACATTAAACAATCTTTTGTATTGACTCTCCGAATTATTTAGAACAGAGTAATCTATTGCACAAACCTTAGAATTAATATTTTGCCTAAAACTTTGCGACTTTTTGTGATGGGGCGATACTTAACGTGCTTGGCTTCATCAAATATTTTGTCAGAGAAGCCAACTATCAGACCACAATGGTCAGAAGTAAGGTTTGTTATTACTGATTTAGAAATAGGTTTGTCACTTGAAAATATGTTATCTAAACAAGTTGCTGAATGGGAGGTGATTCTTGTTGGTTCAGAGAATTGGTTTACTAAATTGAAACATTTAAACATTGAAATAAATCTAGTGCTTACTGAAGTACTTTCAAGTATGTTTATGTTAAAATCTCCGCAAATAATGACCGACTTTCGTTTTCTAGTCAGTCTTTTAAGTACATCTTCCATTACTGACTCGAAATTGTAATAATCTCCGGAAGGGAACTAAATTTATATATAACATAGTTCTCCAGTTCTACACAAGATAATTCAATAACACATTCAATTGATAGACTTACAATATCCTTACGATCTTTCGATTTGACAGTACTCTGTACTATTTATTAATATTAATTATCCGCCACGAATAGAACTACTTCTCATGAATACGCTACACAATTGGAAGTTGTCAATAACAATCGTTTCATAACTTCTTAGCCAATGTTCTGTAATACAAATAACTTCAATTTCGCGACTTTTTGTAAACAGTTCTAATTCTAATTCCTTGCCAGCCAAACCTTGTAGATTTTGATAAACAATATTTAATAGTGCTGGCTTGGCTTTTGTCTTAGGTGCTTGTTTATATTTGTAAAATGTAAATTTTTCGTGACAATTTTAATACATGTCACCGTAGTAGTTTCTTTAAAATTATATGCTAATAACTTAGCAATTTCTTTTTTTATTTTATATGAAAGATACAATGTATCTTTGGTCAGGGTAAATTTAGTAACAAACCTGTTACAATCAAAATATAAAAATACGTCACTATGACGACATATCAAATGGTGAATAAATTGATTTAAAACATAAATCTGTTGATTAAATTTATAATCCATATTGCATGGATAGCGATATTTGGAAAGATCTGGGGGAGGCCTTTATCCGTGAAGTTCCGATCAATGGCACTGAAGATTGTCAGGTAACAAGAAAAAAAATGTATGTAACAAATCTAAACTGTACATTGTAAAGATTGGAAATAAACGGGCTTTATTATTATATACATATGTATATGTCGCAGCCAACTAGCTTAATTAGCCGTTCAGTCAACAGCCTAGCCTCTTAACTAAACAGCGAAGTTTGACTAGCGGCCTCAAAGATGTTTAGCCAGTTGATCAAACATCTAAGCAGATGACTAGGTAATTCTTACAACTCACGATTTTGTGAAATTTACTCAATAAATAGTCAGTGAATATATTTCTGAGCAAAGAAAATCTAACCATGAACGGCTTTTAAGTCTTTTTCTATTCGCTAAAAAAACATTGAGCCAATTTTCGATCTGGGGTCCAGCCTACTCATATCAGTCACTGTATATAATATTAGGGTACATGTAATTCCAAGTGAAGGAATGTAGAAGCGCTTGAAAAGATTTTGATCGTTAGTTCTTGTCTACGTAAGTAAAACATCTGTCGCAAAATGTACAACTCCGTTATTTTACTCCGGTTTACGACAACGCTCCCACACAGCAATCAAGTGACTTCCTGCAGGTTCAAATTGAGTGTGACAAAGCTTCTTGTGTCTTCAATGTGTCATCTTGCTCTACGCCTTTGACTTGCGAACTGGTAGTAAATGTAAATTTAGAATCAATTTAACATCTTTTCTGTTGACGTTCATAAGTGTACTTGGGTAACCAACTATAGGTATAGGTAACTACATGAATAAAGATATTTTGAGTTTGAATTTGTGTACCTATGTATGAAAAATCTTACAGCGCCTCCAGTGGTTACTAGCAAAAATAAGATTTTTCATAAAAATATTTGATGTAGGGTATAATGCGGAAATGTTGGAGAGACTGGGTCTACGAGAGACAAATAATTACTCTCGGCGTAGGGAAGAAATATTTACGATCTTGCGATCCATGAATACTATTGCTTGTGAGACTGATCTATTTAATTGCACAATGACAAAAACAAATCTCATCAATAAACCACAAATGTTATCTGGCAAAATACTGATGGTAATATAATGAAAGTACAAAGGTCGCAAGTTTATCCCCTAAGCGTTAATGTTATCTGAGCGGAAACCCTAGCCGTGCATTTAATTACATCCTATTATAATTACTAATTGGTAGTATATTTTATTCAGATCTAATTTGTGGGTATCGCATATGCTAAGATATATTAATTTGAAAAAATCTTAAATTTTAGTTTTATTTATTCTAAGTCAAATTTTTATTGCATTATGCAACATAAGGATGTTCGTAGTGTACAGGTTATAATTTTGTTACAATAAGGACCTTGGTTAGGCACAGCAATGATGTGAGAGGGCTTTAGTATAGTTAATTATATTCTTATACATTTTTATTCTTATAAGTAGATACATTATTTATTTATTTATTATATTTGCTTTGGCTTCATGTTGCGAAAATGGAGTAGGTATGTACTTAAAATTATTAATAAACTTAACTTGACAATTATTCCTTTAACAATTTGGTAAGTGAATTGTTTCATTCTTTAAATTTTCCGGTAATTTATTATATATTTTTATTTAGGAGGTCAATGGCCATGATTGATGTAATTTTATATATAAACGGGTATTCAAAGAACATACAGGGCCAACTTTATTTTATCTGGTAACTATTTAATTGTATACTTAGCCTATTTAAGCTACAAACAGTTTTAGCCCCACATAAAATATCATTCACTATAGTGTCTTCAAAAAGCTGCCTTAAGCTTTTCAGTCTAATTTGTGTACACTTATTGTAAAGCTACACTAACTCAAAAAGTTTAGTTCTGAGTCGACGCGCTGGACCCGTGGTTTCAAGCAGCTGGGTGTCTTGTTGGGCTTTGGCATGTAATTCCTAAGCCAATGTTTATTTATGTTTATGTAAAATAGAAATAAAAAATTTAATAAAATCTTTTATTGAATTCAGTCTTAATGATTACGTGTCATTAATACGGGTCTTGGCAGGAATTCCGGTTGGGTCGAAGGCTCGGTGAGCCAGGACCTACGAGGCTCGACGCTCTTCGGCTTGTACAAGTATGCAAACTGAAAAAAAAATTAAGAGATATTAGAAATATTTATTTTAGTTCCATGTGACATTTTGTATATTTTATACATACTATAAAATACTACAAAATGAAGTTCCCCTGCCGCTGTTATGAACGTGATATACTCAAAGGCAAACGGTTGTATAATTTCATTAATACATAGTTGTAATGCTAATGCAAATGCAAAAACCAACTTAGAAGTACAGGCACCTCTGTTTCGTATTCTTCGCGACTAAACAGTACTTATCAAGAGCTGGATATATTCAGTTGTTAAACATTTTAGGTAAAAGACTTTGTAATATATACCATAGATATAGTATTTTGTATGTTGCGGTTAACTTTAATTAAACTATAAAAAAAATTATAGACTAAATATTAGTATTATAAAGTAAAGTAATATAGTTGATTGTAATGCCGTTTTAAAGTTCTAATTTTCAATAGTTACTTGGCTTAACTCGTATTAAGATAAATGGAAGCAATCGTTTTTAAATGCGTTCAGCAGCAATTTATAATATTAAGGATATTCTTAGGTACAAAAAAATAAATAAAAATGTGTTTAATCATTAAAAACAATGCATTATGTTTAAGACAGGAACCCTTTTAAGTAAAAAGACCCGTGTCTAGTTCCCAGCTCCCATAACAATCTTAATAGTTAATTCCTTACCATTTTTTGTTTTTTAATTATAATTGAATTTTTCTTTTACTGTTTACAACATCTATTGTTTTAAGTACCACGCGTGAGTGGACGAGTGTGTGTGTGGGTGTATGTGAGTGTAATGTGTATCTCATGTTAGGTCTCAGAAGCATCTGGAAACTCGGCGTAAGGTGTGTTCATAAGCGTTTTAGCCGTTTTTTCAGATTGTGGACGGTGAACGGGTAGATATATAAGCAGCCTATTATTATATACATCATTAAATTTTAATTTATTATTTTAACATTTGCTCGAACAGTGAAGGAAAACATCGTGAGGAAACCGACATGTCTTAGACCCAAAAAGTCGACGGCGTGTGTCAGGCACTGGAGGCTTATCACCTATTAGCCCATTAGATTTAAAAAAATGATCATGAAACAGATTCAGAAATCTGAGGCCAACACTTAGAGGTTGTGGTGGCACTGATTTTTTTTTAAATTTAATTTATTACAAATGTAGTCTGCCTGAATAATATGGCTTATAGATTTTTTAACATTTAACCTTTTACATTTTAATTCTTCTTTTACCGAAAGTGAAACAAAACACGATCAGTCCATAACAAAACACTTACAGTAATTAGCGCTGTCACCGCTCCAACTGCGAACCCGACAGCAACGTCACTGGAATGGTGCATGTTGTCTACCACACGGGATAGGCCCACGTACCACGCGGCGAGTAGAACCACGAATTGTGCAACGTGACGTAACAATTTCGATCCGCGCCATCTAGCGTTCACTTGTATGTACAACTGAAAATAAAATATGTACCTAAGAAGAATACAAATAGTGTTTGACTCAAAGAATACTTATTTTTTTAATTAGAAACAGAGAAGTTTATTCTGTCTTTGAAATATTTTATTTTGGTAAGTAAATATAGATTGCGATTTGAATTTAATTAGTTTTTTAAGTATTTATACCTATATAAACAGTTTCAGTACTGTCAAACATTTAGGTCTTGAATCTAGATCTTATTTAAAGTTCAATAGCTACTAAACCATATTAATAGTATCTAGAGTATATAATGTCTTAAAGTAATAAATGAGTTGTCACATACAATGAAGAAAACGGCACAGTACATGGAAAAGCTGGCGTGCGCACTAGGGAAGGAAAGACGCATATTTTTCAATTTTGATGCACCCCCTGCGCCGGCGCAGGAAAACTCTGTCACGTAACCTTGTCTGGTAGCAATCGTGATCGAAGGCTGACATAGCTGTAAGAAATAATTATAACAATTATAAAAATATTGTTATTGATACAAAAAAAAAAACACTCAAGTGCGTTGCCGGCCTTTTAAGAATTGGAACGCTCTTTTCTTGAAGGACCCTAAGTCGAATTGGTTCAGAAATACTTCAGCTTCAACCAGTGGGCAGCTGGTTGCAAATAGTGGTGGTGAGCGGTAAAAACTATCCTAAAAAAGTTCAGCCTTGCGATTCTGTAACTCACTTTTCGAACTCTATTCGATACGGGTACGGCAAGCTTTTTGACCGATCGTATTCGGTAAGGTGAACAAACCTGAAGTTGTTTAAGTTTTGCTGGGTCTGGATATCCATAGTTGCTCCCCTCACACTATAAAATCGATTTTTGTATAGTTTTTTGTAATTTTAATTTTTTTGATTAGTAATTGTTTTTTTAATGTTTGTATGATCTCTACATGTAAGTCATGTTTGCCTTTACACAAACTTTGCCTGTCACATTAAAAATTGTATTTTGTGGTTGTTTTACCAATGTATCAGTGTGCCGAGTGTTGGCAAGCTTTTTATTTATTTATATTAGTTTACGAGTTGAACGTTACCCCATAATTATGGTAGAATTCTATCAAATGTAATAAATGTGATTTTACTCGGGAATTGTATCGAAATTTATGTAGAATTTTCTTTTTTGTATATGATCTGTGCAATTTACAAATTAGATAGGAATTCAAGAAAAATAGAAGAAACCGGTATAAGAAACAAATGAATGAAACCTACACTTGGCCAGAGTTGTGAATTCCATCAGGAAGAAATCGATTACAATTATTAACATTTTATTATCACACAATTGGATTAAATGTGAATAATAAGTGTGACAGGTAATACTTATCAGCATCTTTATCAAAAACATGTATCGTATGAAATTACTTAATTAAAATTATAGTATTTTGTAATTGGCTGCTATGAGATTAGATATGTTAATTTTTGTATATCTTTATCAATTAATATATACAATATATCTATAGATATATAATAAAATAAAATAAATAAAATAGCCTTTATTGCTGTTTCTATCTTACAATAATACTCATTAATTAATACATGCCTAACATAATTACTTTCTAAATACTTTTCTACTATATTAAATTTAAATTACTTTCGAAGTACTTACTAAATTAAATTGGTTTAATCATTGTATGTTCGGCAACTGGATGTTTGTCTGGAACAGCTTGTCTGTCGACAAAGGCCTCCTCTAAAGATTTCCACGTATTCCTGTCTTTTGCTAAACGAGTCCATACCGGACCAGCTATTTTGTTGAAGTCGTCTTCCTATCATTTTTCCATGGTTCCTAGTGATCGGCAATTTATAGTTGCTATATATAGATCGTCATTTGTCTTCCTGTTATTTCTTATCTTTAGAGGGTCGTGGTCATTTTCCCCCACGAGGACCAGTCGGCTTGGGGGAGGTTGTTGGTTTTTAGTTATTTGGTTTCTTATATTTTTATGTTGTTGTTGTGCTTTCCAGTTGCCGTATATAGATATATAGTATATATTAATTGTTAGAGATACTTTGAAATCGGTCAAATCCTTTTAAGTATTACTCACAAATTGAATTTGGGATTGATAACACTGGACTTTGCGTTCGTTTATTTCCGTGATTAATGTTGGTTTAACACATTCATTATTATTCATTCTATAGTTGTCATATTGTGTTTAAACCCCCGTATCAGACACCACGCTGCATATCTTTTATAGAGAATTTCATAGGCAAATGGAGTGGCGCCATCTGTGTCCTACACGATTTCTGGATGTAACCCAAAGTTTCACACTCGAGATATTCACTCTCAACTCTAAGAACGTATTAGATTTAGTCATACGAAAATCCACCGTCCATAGTCTCAACTTAGTTGTACGTATAGTACCTATATTGGTGTGAAGTTTTCGCACTTAGACACACACACATTTGGTGCGTTAAGTCCTGGCTAATTAAGCCAGCCTAGTTCCTTCCAGAAGCTCAGAAGTTTCTTCTTCAAAGGCTTCACGGAGCGATCTGTCTGATCAAGGGTTTGGGGTACAATTTGAAGACTCCATCGCTGCCGTTGGCGTTGCTTTCATGCAACCGCTGGCTGCGGACAAGTCGAGTCTTAGGAAGCGGCCTGGTCGATTGCCGTTCGGAGTTCCAATCTCGGCCCCAAATCAAAGCTCCATAAGTTAGCATTTGCGTAATTACGGCAGTGTATAGCCATAATTTTTTAAGGGATTTAACGCCAAGCATCTTTGCATTGGTAGAAGGCGATCTTTGCTTTATCGAAATTTTGATTAAAAATTACGTGTAAATACGCGTAGCGATCCTCATGATGGATCTTTACCATACTGAAATACAGTGCAATAATGTACACAATAAATATTTGTGTGCTGTACACGGTACAGAAGCATAGACCAATGGTTTTATATGTTTTGTACTTACATCAAAGAAATGTGGTCTCAACCGTCCAATGACGTATTTGGTCATGGTGACCAATAGTTGTTGACAAGCGGCACCAAATGTGAATATCCCAATGGCCACATATGACTCCCACACCCATCCAGGAATCTCAGTGCCACATAGAGTCTTATCCGTGACAGACTTACCCTTGATATTTCGTATTATTTCGACAATTAGTATCTGAAAATTTAAATAATTCAATAATGTTGAAGCGTTTTTTTTGTTACTTATACTACTGACTGCACACTAATTAATATTTTCATCGCTAATTAAATTTGCAATGGATTTGGTATTCCTTAATAAACTCATTATTATAAGATAGATTTTCAGTTTGACCCTACAAGGACTCTTAGGCATACCTTGCTAAAGGATCCTTATTTGTGGAGTGTATAAATATTTCCCAGCAAAAAGTATTCTAACAGGCAACTTACAGTTATGACTAACAAAGCAAATCCAAGGCCCGCAAGCAGAGTTTCAGAGATAGCTTCTTCTTTGAATGGAAGACTAAGTGACTGGTCATTTTGGAAATAACCGCGCTCATATGGTTTGGCCCATAGAAGAAGGGCTAACCAAGCGAATCCAACTGAAATCAAACAAAAATATTTATGACAATTTTCTCATTATGATAAATATATATTGCTCGTCGCCATATTCTTCTAGACAGACTTGACAAACTTCTTTTCATTAAATAATTTGTTTAAATGATCACGCCTTCTGTGCCTGACACTTTTGAGTTTAGAATATACTGGTTTCGCTATGAAATTATACTCACATTTGTTCCATGTGCCCGAATACGAATTACCTGCATAATTCACCTCACCAAAGTGGATGTGAGGAAATATTTAAAGAGGCGTGAAGACTTTTACTTTATTTAGCAGTAACAATTTAGTTTTTTCTATGAAATATTAAGTATTAATTGTCGTTTCTTTAATATTATATTTCAGTTTTCTTTTATTTTTTGTTATTAATGTACTTACTTACGTTTTCTGTTGCATATATATTGTTTATCTATGTAATATGTTTTGACTTTGTATATTGTTTAAGTGTTTTGTTTTACAATATGTATGTTAGCTGTGATATTACTATTTAATAAATTAATTAATTAATACGTTCCTTCCGTCAACATTACCAAAATAATCTATTGACCAAGCCCGAGTTTAAATAACGCTCTGACAGCATTTAGGATATGTTTAAAATTTGGAGCAAACGAGATGAAGACAAACGCGCCTGGAACAAATTAAATAGCAACTTCCTGTAATTTACTTTGTAAAATAAATGACAGCGGAGTCTAGGCAGTATCAAGATATATAATTCTACTGGATATACACGGTATGTCACTGAACTCCTCTTAAATCTAGGTTATTTATCTATACAGCAAATAAACAGCTGGTATGCATATAAATCTTCTATGCATGTGTTCGTAATTTGTGTTGTTAATGTGTGTAGTCGAGAATGATTTACATTAGTAGATATTTTTTTTGTATCTAAGACAAGACAACCTCTATCGGATCCGCTCGTATTAATATAAAGAAATACATTTTAAATATTATTTGCTGAGTAGTCAAACTTAACTGCTAGATTACCACAACAATTTCGATGACTGGCACTCTGTAATAACTCGTATGACGTTATTTAACAACGAAACCTAATTTTATCATAGTTCCGTAACGCGATATCCCTAACATGGAACAATGCGTATCGCATAAGTATTGAAATGAAGTTACGTGGTACGCTTGCTGAGTCTTTTGTATCTGACTATTGTAGTGTAAAGAATCCGTTTCCTTAACTTATCATTAGGTAGTAAACGTGATACAGAATGCATCTAAGTGTAACCAACCTTGGATTAAAAAGAAATCAAGGAAATTATGAACCGTAAAAATAAGTTTTCGTAAGACGATTATAATGTAACAAATAAATAAAATTTTAGCTTTTATAGTAAAGACATGAAAATGAATATTGCGAAGACCATATTAAAAAATATGTTATGTGATACGCATATAAAAATACAGACTCTTGTCATTATTATCATATACGGTTTACCGTAAGTATATATACATATATTTAAAATAAAGAAATTTGCCTGTAAAGTTCTCTCTAACTTTGCTAGATTTACTATCGTATCTTTATAGTATCTTCTGCTTTATTCCTAAAGGTCTAATCAGATTATGTGTTTGCGTGTTGTTCCCACGAGAATGTAAGTGCGTGCTCCTATTTCACCACGCCTCCTGCTGATAGAGGACAACTCTTTGTTTTTAATTTATGTTATTATTATTAATTACTTAAGATGTCATGTGGAACATGGTTTAATGGTTGCAGCTCCTTACAAACGTTGTGTAAAAAAAAAACATGGCGATTAAAAAGAGTGGCGGAGAGTTTATTGCCAGTTCTTCTCTTCCGTTCTACGTCCTTGATTTGAGAACTGGCACTAAATGTAAAATTAGAAGCATTAATATGTATTTCTTTACTGATAAGTCATAAGTGTGCAATGATATACCCATATGATTTAATGATTTTTGAATTTGAATTTTGATTAAATTCACTGTTTTAAGCAAGGATTTCTCGTTTTACAGTGTATAGGTATACAATATGTCGAAAAGAGAAGGTACTTTAGATAAAAGTGTCCTTTTAGAATTAATTATTTTTTAATGAACGAGGGCGCAGTTGTTTTAAAGTAAATTTTATCGAATATCAATTGATCATAGGAGTATTCTCAGTTAGGTTAAATTAGGTTTAAAGACTTTATTTTCTCAAAAAAGACAAAAAATGTCACTTACATGAGAATAATACTCTAGATTAACATAAAATTGTAGTCGTTCTTAAAATAATCACAATAAAAGATAGCCGTACATGCAATAAACTTAGAAATAAAAGTAACTAAAGAAATATGAATTGAAAGTAATTATAAGAAATGAATTTAAAAGTAATTTTGTTTAACATATTCACTTAGCTTCGATTTGAATGAATTGATAGAAGTAATATTTTTTATATCTGAGGGTAGTTTATTATACAGCTGTGCGCCTTCGTATGTAAACATATTTTTGCCGTAGTTCGTACGTACTTTAGGTAATGCAAGATAACTCGTTCGACGCATACTTCTATGAGTCACACGTGGCGGTTTAGAGAAAGCTAGAAAAGTGTGGAGTTGTTATAATTTTTTTTATAAGAATACATGTGTTATAAATATAAAGTTGTTTTAGATTCATTATGTTTGTGTCTCGATATATATTTATGGTAGGTGCAAGATAATTATACTGGAACAGTATTTTTATAATTTTATTTTGTAATACTTGAATATATTTTTTAATTTAGTTTTGGCGGCGCTGCCCCATACTTCAATTAAATAAAGTAGATGTGGCTTGACCAATGAGTTGTAAATGGTGTAACGTACCCGACGTGGGATACAACGAGCAATGTGTCGAAGTGATCCCATAACTCATAAGTGAACAGAGCTTAGATCTGATGTGCTCAATTTGTGTATTATATATTAAATTTTAATTTAATTGCAGTAATATACTAATTAAAATATGAAGGCTCTTCACCCTGTTAAATATAATTCTGTAACACGATATCTTATAATTAGAACATCACTTTCATATTAATTAATAATTAGGCAAATTCGTACTAGATTAGTAGGTAAGTAATTTTGCTTTTTAATAATTTTTAAATATTTGTGGCGAGCGAAAAGTGTCATTGTTACTTTCTACTCTTGCGAATTACATAGATATTCATTATGTATAGGAATAATAAGTGTTTTTAACATTTTTAAACTACTTATGTATTATACAGATATTTTTGTATTGTACATTTTTAAAACTTCAAAGGTTCAATTTCGGTTTCAAATAGGTACCTATTTTTAAAGCTACATTAATTTTTTTTTCTATATATCGACGTAGGAAAGCATATTTGCTGTAAGTAGACAAAATACCTAAAGTGACTTTTTCCTGCCATTAGAATCAGAAAAAAAGCCGCATCGAATGACCTGGGTCCTGTGTCTCTACGATGAAAAAAAAATTACATACGCCGTTGAAAACGCCCGTACTTATATTATTTTTAACAAGATTAAATGCTGTATGTAGACCAAAATCTAGTCATTTCAGACATTTCGCACTTACAGCAAAAGAAAATCTGCATTTTTTCTTTACAAATACTTACTTCTTCCCATTTAAAAACTTAACGCTACTTACAGCATTTCAGCGGCGTGTGATTTTTACATTCGTTTACTTACAGCAAGTTTAGGGAACCTACAGTTTTGGTTTTTTTTTTACCATTTACGACATTTTATTTCAACCAAACATTACATTACCAAATGACCCACTGCATTTCTAGATCTAATCATAATTATAAACTAATCTTACATCTTGAATTGCAATTAAAAGTACCCAAATACATAAATTTCCTGCATACAGCATATTTACCGCCTGTAAATTGATAATATTTCCGCGCGTACATTTTTCTTCCTTAGTTACAGCGTTTTAAAGGTTTGTGATTTAAAAAACTGTTTGCTGTAACTAGCCAAACACGTACTTATAGTAACTTTGGATAAAAAGTTTACATTGCAAATGGTGACTGGCAGTTAAATAAATATATGTTTCAAAAATGGTAGCAATATCATGGATAGGTCAAAGACACTATTAATTTTTTTCCGAAATTAATAAAGTTTTTTGGCTCTGGTGAACAATTGCAATATGTCTACTTACAGCAAATGTGCTTTCCTACGTCGATATAGAACTTGCCACAACCGAAACCTGAATACGAAAACCTATGTACTATATTAAATCGGATCATAAATATGGTTAAATAAAACTAAAAAGTACTCTAAACTTATTATAATCGAGAGAAATTTAATCTAAGCTAAATTGAAATAAGGTAGGTTAATTTAAATACACTATTTATTGCTACTTTAATAAATTATGCATAGGATTCTTCTCACACATGTGGCGATAATTTCAACTAGTATTACAATTGTAATAATTCCGATAACGAATACAAACGAAATTGAAAACTCACCGATCAAAAGAGCTATGACGTCTAAACAAATTTTTATTAACAATTTATGTTCCGTCATTTTCAAGATTTCCAAAAGACACAATTAATTTACACAATCACGAGGCATAACAATTATCTTCCATTTGACAGAAATCGCCCAACATTGATTATAATTCAGCAAATTTATCTAGGTGTGCGCTTTGGAAACAAATACGTACTGATAAAGTGAGATAATGTGAGCATAAAACAGGTGAAGGTAGATGTGATTCATATAAATTGTATGTCAGCTGTCATAATAAAGAATAATACAAAGTGTAGGTAGTCAAAACGGTGAGTAATATTTTTTAAAGTGCGCGAAAATTTCCTGGAAAAAATGCATTACATAGCAGTGAAATGGGTATTGATTTAGCGCCATCTAGCGTTGAAATCTATAACTTTAAGGCCTCTAGGCCTCATCTCTTCACAAGATGGCGGTTTTGTTATAGGTGAAAAAATAACGAGGATAATAATACTATATTATGATTAGAAAACTTGTTAATAAAACTTGTATAATAATACTATAACTTGCTATTTTTCGGAATTTTCTGTTCAAATAATGATATCATGGGTATCGATTGGATTATTTGGAATAGATAAAACTCTTATCTGCGTCCTGATGCGTTCACATGTATTTCAAAGGAAGTTAATCTAGTTGGTCGGTTGTATCTTTTAGGCAGGAGTTTAACAGAATAAGTAATAAAAATGGATGTGCAAAAAAACAAAATTGGTTTCTATTAAGAAAAATGATTATAGATGTAATTGTCTTATGTACTGGTGAGTACCTTTTTTAATTTACATGTTAACTTTCTAACCAACTTTATATTTAAAAATAATAAGCTTCAATTGTTGATAGATTAATGTTTTTAATATAAAGTGTACTAGCCATATACAAGATAATAATAATATTTCATATTTGTATTGGCAAAAGTTATATTCAGATAATCATCGAATGATACACTCTTTATAAAACTTTGAGGTTATGTATTTTATTTTTTCATTGTTTGGGCAGGATGTCAGGATATTTACGGTTGGTATAATGTTATTTGTATATGCGCCATCTATTATTATCTACATTAACTAATAAGGATGAAAGATTTGAACATTATTTGTTAGGTACATAAAAAAATTGAATAGCTTTATCTTATAAAATTGGATATTTAGACAATTTTTTTGGAACATAATGTTCAATAATAAGGATAATAGGAATAGGAAACTAGTATTCCCCTTCTAAAACATCAAGTTATTTAAGAAAAATGTATAGGTATTTAATAGTTTTTTCAATAAATTATAACTGTTCTCGTAACGGCTAGTAAAAAGGCATTAATAAAATAATTCACGATAATTTCTTATTGTTACAGTTGGCATCCCCATATTCCTTTTCTACTTTATTGGATCGGCAAATGAACGAGGTTTCTTCTGCGATGATGAATCTCTGAAGTACAGCTTCAAGAATTCTACTATCACGAGTGGTGTGCTGTACGGCGTCGGATATAGTCTACCAATTTTTATAGTAGGAAAAATGAATCTATACTAAATCTATAACTGAGTTTGCATCTTAAAGTTACTGTAACATCGGGAACTATTAATTCGAATCGTGTAAAGAAAAATTCTGTTTGTGTTGATAGTTTATTTATCGAGCCTTAACTAATTGACACGTGTAAAACCGCAGGGCACTATCCAGTCATTATATATTATCTAATTATATTGTTTAAAATGTAGAAGATATAAAAATACTAACAGAATTAATGGGTCAGATTTTTCAGTAGTATGAAAAGGTCATTGACCCGATCACGTCGAAAAATTTAATATGCTATATGGTTTGGTATTCAAGTTATTGCTTAAAATTAATATTATTAACTGACTTTAGCTATTTTTCTTTCGTGCAGTAATATTCCCCGTAAATAATACGAAAGGACGCTATAGTATATATTTATTTTATTTATTAACATTTCGTTGCATGTACAGAAATATAATACAATTTGCATAATTAAAAAAGAAGGATCTAAAAGGAATATATAAGAAAACTATAGTTGATTTCCTTGTTTTTTTATAGAACAGGCAGGCTCATCTGATGTTAAGTGATACCGCCCATGGACACTCTTAATGCCAGAGGGCTCCCGAGTGCGTTGCCGGCCTTACAAGAATTGGTATGCTCTTTTCTTGAAGGACCCTAAGTCGAATTGTTTCGGAAATACTGCAGTGGGCAGCTGGTCCCACATAGCGGTGGTGCGCGACAAAACGCTCAGTTGTAGAACGACGGATGTTGAATTTCGTATTCTGTCTTGACGTCCGATAATGAAACTGAGCTGCAGCTCTGAATACTCTCCATTGTAAATGGGGTAGAAGATGGGATAGTGTGAATATGTGAAAACACTTCTAAATCCAATCTTATACAAGATTTTGTAATATTAATTCAATATTTTATAATAACAATCTGGAAAACAATAAAATTACCGCTAAATTTAAATATTTATTTCGTTATTCAGATGTGTTTGACGGAATGGATCCGCCTACGCGACTACAAGGGCGGAGAACAACGTGTCATTCTAGGCCTGGAGATTCCCGCGTGGGTCTGGGAGTCATACCGATGTGTCGGAGTGTTCCTCTTCGGCTGCGCCTGTCAGCAGCTCACGACGGATATCGCCAAGTATACCGTTGGTAGACTACGGCCCCACTTCTTTGAAGTGAGTTTAAATTAATTTAATAAGTTATTTTGTAAAATCTTTGTACCTCTGATAATGTTTATTTATTTATTTCGCAATCCTATAGCTAACAAAAATGATATATGCATACTAACAATAAATTACACTAAAAATATACCCAAAGATGGAATTCATAATTTACATAAGTTTTCAAACATTTACAAAAGGGAAAATACAATAAAAATATTCAACACATTTAACTAAGCAATACCTAATTTGATTGTGGTGTGTCATGGTGTGAAATTACCCTAAGTCGAATTGGTTCGGAAATACTTCAGTGGGCAGCTGGTTCCACATAGTGGTGGTGCGCGGCAAAAACTGCCTTGAAAAACGCTAAGTTGTGGAACGGCGGACGTCGAGGTGATACGGGAAATGGTGGGACGTGGGACGGCTTATCATCAGATAAGCCTTCAACACCTTCGCCCCTGTTATACACATGTTTGTTTTACAGGTTTGCAACCCGACAATAGACTGCTCTCTGCCAGAAAACCAAAATCGATACATCGAGACCTTCACGTGCTTAGGAACAAATAAGAAGTTCCTTAAGGAGATGCGACTCTCTTTTCCCAGTGGACACTCTTCCTTCTCAGTTTTCGCAATGGTATTTTTGGCGGTAAGTACAGTTATGATTTCTTTAGACAATGTTTCGTAGCTGTCCTGCACGAATATTTGTTCACATAATATGAAAAATTATCTTATTTGCTTATCTTACTAAGATTTCTTTCAACAGTGTGAACCGAGTGAACTTATTTTTACTAAACGGCTTAAGTAACAATTAACTCTTAATGAAAGACTGTGTACCGCTGTTAACCGGAATGTAAATATAATAATAACCCTTGGTCTTAGATATTTGTTACTGTTTCTTGTTATATTTTTAATATGTAATGGTATATAGGTAATCAGCCATGTCGGTTTCCTCACAATGTTTTCCTTTAACGTTCTTATAACCGAGTGTTTGGCACACTAAAGAACCTTTATAGATTGTAAATCATAATTGAAAGTACTTATTACGTACTCAGTACGTCAAATTATATATATTTTTTTTAATTTATTCTATTTATATTATTAGTTTCGGTTTGACGCTTTTGCTTTGCTAAATTCTACAGGCGTCATTTTTTTACATATATTTGTTGACTAAACCCTCGCATATCGACCGTTAAAATGAAAGATTTATTCAGTTACTCTACCAAAAGATTATTATTATTTATTTATTCACTATCCTTATAGTACTAAATCAATACGATAATGTCAAAAAAATAAATATAACACAATATATAATATTAAATACATATTATAAGATAAACAACATCGCTACTGTCAACTCACTCTACGAACATATAAAGATGTCGATAGTGTCGGAGACGGCATTCAGTAGGCGCAACGTCTTTGTTAACGGGGATCTGTGCAACAGATTGGCTCTAGTCCTTGGTATGGCAACCTTGGCCGTGCAAAGAGGAAATAAAACAAAGAACTGTTCTTGGAGAAGATTTGGCTTGCTCACCACGCTCTGATAACAATTTTCAAACCTCAATTCCAGCTTTACCTACAAACGCGCTTTACATGGAAAGGATCTAAACTCCTACGACACATCATGCAGCTCATAGTCATTATGATGGCCTGGTACACCTGCCTCTCACGAGTCTCCGATAATAAACACCACTGGGGTGACGTCCTTGGAGGTTTCCTCATTGGATTCTTTTACGCAATCACCGTAGTAAGTAACCAAAATTCTTGCCATGTTTCTGGTTAAATGTTTTGTTATTTTAATTTCTCCCGCCATTTGCGTAATATGGAAAAAAACATACAATATAACGAAGATAGTTTGGACATCTTAAATAAAACTTTCTTATTGGATTTTAACACAAATGTAGTAATATAGACGTAGGTCAACGTTTTGAATGTAGCAATCTTGTTCAGCAAACGACATATCAGCCAATTTGAGAGATACATATCTATGTCGCAGATCCAACCGAATTAATAATTACAAAGATGGTATCACCACCGTCGTCCGACATTATCACTTAATATTTAAACAAAGTCAGTGCGCACGTCCGGTGCAGGCGCCGATCGAAAAGCAACTCAAGTACTTCACGACCGATAACCGATTCTACGCACTACTGACAACTTGACTTTGACAATTGGCACATTGACATTTTACAACCTGTAAGATGTCTATGATATTGCGTGGTGTTGCCATTGTAATAAAACAAATTACATCGTGTTCGATTATAACCTATTCTCTGAATTCAAACGAAATGGTCATTGTATTGCCTTTTCCGTCTTTTCAATTGACACACAGCAGAATCGGATAAGTTTTAGGAGTGCTTTATTACTTTAATATTGGTATGACAACATAAGTTTGTTGTCAGTTTAGTTTCATAATATGTTGTTAATTAATATGAAAAAATGAAAAGTATTGCATCAATAAATATATTATAAATGAATTAAATTCTCTGTAAATTATAACTATATGTTACGCGTTGTTACGCTCCTCCAATACATGCTAATTGGAAATTCCAACTCACAGCGCATCCTTCTTAGGCAATTCGTTTCGAATCTTCGCCATTAAGTTATGGAATAGGCTGCCTGACTCCATACGATGCTACCTCCTTAACATCTTTTAAAACTCTTCTCCATAAACATTCCTTAACCAAATACTATCCTGCTCAATAGTCACTTTTGTAATTCTTGTATTTCTTATTCTTTTTTATTGCATCGAAATTCATGAATCCGTAATTACCAGAACAATACTTGGCGATTAAAAAGAGTGGCGGAAAGTTTCTTGCCAGTTCTTCTTACCCGCTCTACGCCCTTGACTTGCGAACTGGTAGTAAATGTAAATTTACAATTAATTTAACATCTTTCTGAAAATTCATAAGTGTACTTGTTTACCTACATGAATAAAGATATTTTGAGTTTGAGTTTTTCAGTTATTAGTATGTTTATTAATTTTTTTTGTATTATTTTAGATTAAGGTTTCATAATTTTTTAATAAGATTTGTTTTTGCACTCCTTGCACTGTAGCTGTACCCATAATATTCATTTTTTCCGTTTTTCCCTAACTAGGGTTGCCTGCAAGAGATCGCTTGTGAGCGATAAGGCCGCCTCTTGCATACCTTATAATTTTTAAGTATTATGTTATTTGTATAAATGTAACGAAGTGTGAATAAATAAATAAATGAAATGACACGTGTCATTTAATAATTGAATTAGTGCGCATATCTTCTACAAAGCCAATTCATTTATTTCAATTAGGCCTTTAAAAATACACCTTTGAAAGTCAAAAATATTTAAAAATGACTCTAGTTGCCTCTTCCATAACGTATTTCAGTTCTCGTCCGCTAACTTCTTTCTAAACTTTCAAGTTTTAAAGAGGTTGGAGGTAACACAATGTTTTGAAATTGATTTATTCCTTTTCAGTTTGCATACCTATACAAGCCACTGAGCCTCGGCACCCGCTACTCGGCGCTAATGGAGTCACAACCACTGCCTCGGCCTATACAATAGTCAGGCTTACAAATACAAGAAATATATAACTGCAAAAAACTCCTTGCAAAATATATTAAAGCAGCCCTCAATAAGTACAATAAACAGGACCGTGCGTATACAACAAACAGGAAGCGTGGTGCAAAACGTGATCACTCAAATTTAAAAATGGCATTCTCACTGCAGAAGCTTTTAATATTTACACCAGGTTTAGAAACATTAGGACCTGAATTAGGCAGAAACCGGAATCACATGAAAAATGGCATTATTTGTGCTGGAACTTTAAACGAAAGCACATCAGTTAATTTTTAGTAAGCGTCTAAAATGAAGTGATCCTAAAATTGAGTTCTGGTTGTCCATGAACAATGGATCGTTACGAAAATATAACAAGAAAACTGCATGTCTTAGATCCAAAACGATCACAGCTCTACTTTAGAATATTTTTTTTTTTAATAAAACAGTCGTAGGAAGACCATGGGACGGCATTGAATGCAGTTTTCCTAATATTATATTTTATGTATAAATTTTAAGCGAGTACAAATGTATTACGTTACCTCATACAATAAGTATTAATTTGTTAAAATACGATTTTCATCATATTGCATCGTCTTGGGCAGTCATCTCTTTTCATCATAGCATCAACACAATATGGCGGAAAGAGACAGAGAAGGTGCAATTGGTTGATTTAGTGAATAAGTTCTAATATAATTAAAACAAAATTAAATAAGAATCATTTTTATTATGCTTTATATTGCCTTAACCTAAATAAATAGCTGCCGTAAAACTAAAGGCAGTGAATCCCCTAAAATGGTGCTCTTATGTGTACATTTATTATGCATTGCAACAAGTAATAAATTATATAAATATTGTATACTCTTAGACGTAAAAGCCTCAAATACGAACAAAACATTCGACAACTTAAGGCTTTTAGTACAAATAAGTGCAGAAAGAATTGCATTTTTTTAAATGGCAACATTAAATTAGCAAACGTAGCACCGAACTATAGCTGGTTACATACAGAAAATTGCGAGTTTTTTTATATTCCTGTCTCTTTCTTTACAAAGGTAGTGAAAGAGACAGGAATATTAACATAACTTTATGTAGACAAGCACCTAGTTCATACTGCAATATTTACACTTCTATATCACAGAGTAAAATACATTCCCAGTCTTAAAAACTGGGAATCCTATATCTAAAAATAAATAAAAATACGAGCGATCTTTCAAAATGCCTATCAACCTAATCTCAAATCATTCGACAGCGATAATTCATGTTTTCTTAATAATTTGTTTTTCATATAACAGTCTTGACAGTACCAGGCTCTCATAACGGAGAAAGTGTATTTTTTTTATTATGCGTTTAAATTCTTAAATATCGTCTATAATCGTTTTAAAATTGACAATTACTTAAAAATAGTGCATATTAAGTAGTATGTGCTAAATCGCTACAATACTGGTTGATAAAAATGTAATAAGGTATAAAATATCGCCTAACTTCACGGCGTATGAAAATTAGCAAATATAGTATATTGCTTACTTCATGGACGTTGAAACCACATTGCTCAGTAAATTCTAATCAACAATAATCCTAAATTATAAAGTCATCTTTTCGATAAAATAGTTCGACAGGGTTTATATGGAAGACACATACAAATTAATATGTAAATAATAATTTGGTCTTAGCTTACCGAAATTTTAATGAATTTGGGGCGTCAAGTTTTGAAAATTTTAAGTGAAAATATTCCTGTTCTCTTGAGATTACAACTACATTGTACCAATAAACTTAACTTCTAAATAAATAATTTGTTTAAACATTAAAAATCTTACTTTTCCAGCCAACTAATATTTACATAATTCCAAATTCAAATTTAGTATAAAAATGATGTCAATTGCCACAAGCCAAATTAATAAACTTTTTATTACCACAGTAATTTTAAACGGTTCTCTATGGTTTGTGTATGGCCATTCATAATCAAACTTTCCAATTTAAATGTGTTTGCCTTTTAGGCTTCATAAATCCCGGTTTCAAAAGTCTGTATAAATCTGGGAGACGGTGGTTGTGGGTCGTCCACCGTCAACCACGCTATCTGGTTGAGTGGTTGAAGGTCAAACCTGCCAACTGGGGGCTGTGCGAGTGGTGCCGTTGGTTGTCAACTCGTTGTCATGGCAACCGTTTTGACGGCGCGACGTTTTGCGTAAGTCTGAGATAAATGCGTACTGTGGACAAGAAATGTGATGATTATGGGCAAGATGATAAAATAAAATAAACATATTGCTGTGTCTGTATTTAAGAATTACTTCCAACTACGTTAATGTTTTCGTTCATCATCAGTTACAAGTACCAGGCTATCATAAATGAAAGAAGTCTCACCACAACAATAGCAGCAAGGAGTCCAATACTGAAACCAGCCAGTACATCACTCCAATGGTGTTTGTAATCTGACACCCGGGTCATTACTGTGTACCAGGCCATCATAATCAGCACGAATTGGATGAAGTGGCGTAGGAGTTTTGACCCGCGCCATACGAAGCGTTTTTGAAGATATAACTGAAAGGACATTGGTTAATATGAGTATGATTAATTTTCCCGTTTTTACTTTCAAAAGCTGTCAAACCATTTTTTGGTATGAAGTTTGACAGAGTTTGACAAGAAGTGGACTTTAGAGTCTCAGCGTATGACTCCCGTATAGTAAAAATCACAAAACATTTAGTAAATCTAATACATTAAATTATATATTTTTAGGCATTCGCAATGTAATAATTAGATTTTTTTATTTGTTTTAAAATATATTTGAAAGATATTACAAGTTGTTAGAAAGTGTTTCTCCTCTAACAAAGTATTTCAGAGTTTTAATAATCTTAACAAAAGACACAATTCAACACGCCAAGGTGAAAATCAATTACGAACATAATATTGACTTTTTGTTATGTTAATAACTATACAACAATGGGGTACAAAGCCTTAATAATAAAATTGCTATCACTATTATAAGTTGCAAGAATTCCGGCTAAGCTATCGAGACACTTACAGCAAAATAAATCATGGTGTAGGCCGAGAAAGATGAGTGTCCACTCGGGAAGGAGAGCCTCATTTCTTTGAGCAGTTTCTTGTTTTCTCCGAGACACGTGAATTTCTCAATGTAACGCCATCTATTCTCCGGGAGAGTGCAGTCGATGTCCGGATTACACACCTGACAAAGGAATTTAATATTATTAAACAAGTTTTTAGATTAATAACAGCTAACCCGACGAACTTCGTACCAAGTTTGTCAATGAATATCGTGTTACAGATTAGCTGAACTTAATTTATGATTTTATGAAAATAATAAAGCTATTACAAAATAAAAAGTTCACTAAGAAAATAACACAAAAAGAATAATTTTTTTCCCTTAGTTTACACAAAATTATTTCTGAACGCACGCATAAATATTTGCCAACCAATATATTTAAATCCTTTTTCATTACTGATATTATTTTACATTCATAAAAAACTAGAAAATGTCATCCGAATATTATGGATATATCTTGTCGATTCGAAGCCCTAATTTAAGCATCTTTTATTTGAGGGTAGACTTTACCGTATAGACGGGTGAACATTAAATGTCAAACATTAATTAATAGTTTCAGCATGTTATAACTAGATTTTCATAGTTACGAAACCCAACACCATTAGTCAATACTAAACCAATGATTTTTTTCTTTTATTTTTTCGTAAATTTTCCAATATAGCCGTTCTCGAGTTATGTGTTCGAACAAACCCAAATTAGTTTTGTATACGTATATTAAGTAGATTTTTACGAGCGGAAAATGGAGTTTGGTTTTGTGTTTTTTTATGTTTTAGACCTGATTCAATAGACATTTGACAAGTAAAACCACTAGTCTTCTTCGCTCACCATCGTAAAGCATTAATGTTTTGGCGGAAATCGAATGTGGAACCAGCTACCCATTGAAGTATTTCAGAATCAATTCAACTTTGAGAAATTCTTCAAGATTTTTTTTAAATTTCTTTATTTTACAAAATAATATAATATAATCATAATATGTTACATTAGAAATCCGCTGTGGTTTGTATTAATGTAAAGGCCTGCAACGCACTTGCGAGCCTACTGGCGTTAAGTGTCCATGGGCGGTATCACTTAGCATCAAGTGAGCCTCTTGCCCGGTTAAATATGCCTCATAAAAAATTCGAATGTGTCCTTGAGACAAAACCAAAGTATAGTGTATAAGTACTTGCTGTTTATAAATTCAACGCCACGTATTTTTATTTGCTCATTAATATTGTCCTATAAACATGAATTTTGCATTTTCAACATAAAGGGTTCCAATTATCCATTTACTTTTAACCGGTCGTAAATTGTCAGTCAATTAATATTTTTAAACCCAGTTTGAGGAGCGTTTGACTGATGCCTGAGTACTTGTATTGCTCGGGGCTATAGGGCTGGCAGCGGGAGAATTAATATAAAAACGTCTTTTGAATATCAAGTTTTTTTTTTTTTTTTTTTTTTTTTTTTTTTTGGGGGGGGGGGGGGGGGGGCGGGGGTGTTTTTTGGTTATAAAGCCCCCCCCCAACCCAAAAAACAAAGGGGGGGGGGGGGGGGGTTTTGGGTTTTTTTTTTTTTTTTTTTTTTTTTTTTTTTTTTTTTTTTTTTTTTTTTTTTTTTTTTTTTTTTTTTTTTTTTTTTTTTTTTTTTTTTTTTTTTTTTTTTTTTATTAATTTATTTTATTAAATTTTTAAAAAAAAAAAGAAAAAAAAGAAATAAAAAAAAAAAAAAAAAAAAGAAAAAAAAGAAGGAAAAAAAAAAAAAAAAAAAAAAAAAAAAAAAAAAAAAAAAAAAAAAAAAAAAAAAAAAAAAAAGAAACAAACCTACCAAACTTTAATCATGGTCAGTCACATTCCTACGACTGATTCATTGAAGTTGTTTATTTTTAACTATTGATCGGGCGTCCCTGGACTCTAAGGGAGTCAGAATCAAGACTTAAGGGCGAATACCAAGATTTCAGGCTGTCACTTTCCTTGGTGTGGCTTTAAAATGTTTTCGAAAAGAGGAGTAGCGACAATTTTTATGTCAAAGATGTATGTATTTTCTCGACCCCTATAACTCCGTTGTGGATAAAATTAGAAGCCTTTTCACGGTATAAGCACGTTATACTTCAAATTTCATTCAATTTTAATAATAAATGAATATACTGGATATTAAGAAGAACTAGTTAAGTTTCTTAATTTTGTCACTCACTCACTGACCGATCATCAAAACTGTAAAGCACTTCTAGCAGACATATAATTCAAATTTAGAATACAATTAGTGTTTAGTGTATAAATCAAGGGAAAACTAAAATGAACATTTTAATTAGGTAAGATAATTACGTAATAACTTAAAACAGAAGGTCCCTTAAGGAGGAACTGAGTAGGGCCCGCCGGCCCCCGTGTCTGGGGCGGGTTTGCCGCCCCGCGCCCCGGGCGGCCGGGTTTTGCGTGCCCCCAGGGGACCCCAATGAACCCAATTTTCCGTTCCTATATCCTCTCTCCATCTGATCCCGTGAGGACCTGAGGTAGTCAACCTACAACTTTATGGTCAGTCACTTCTGATTCTAAGTTGTTTATTTTTAACTATTGATCGGGCGTCCCTGGACTGTAAGGGAGTCAGAATCAAGACTTAGCGGTAAGTATGACTCGCTTATGTCAAAGATGTATCACCCTAACGCCATCAGTTTCGACCCCTAATGTTGTGACTTCTTACAAGTTATGTTTTTGAATGCATTTGATTTGACATACTGAATCTTACAATACACATTTCGCTAGCTCTGCTACCCAAAAAGTGTCCTTCGAAATATGAATTTTATAAGTACGTAGCATAGCATAGCATTTTAATCGTATCTTCTATTCAACAGCTCAACTAATAACGCGCGAATCAAAAGGAATTTTACAATACAATGCAGCCCTATGCTTGCAGCCGGTTTAAGGTGCAATTTGTTTAACAATGCTATCTTTGGAACGTGAGGTACCTTTTGTTTTAAAACGATTATTCAAAGGAATACTTGAACGCACGTCAAACTTCATCCAACTTTGATGCATACGAATAAACGCGAGTTTATAAATTACTTTAAAAAATTAAATGTATAAATGTTTCGTTTAATTAATAAAATGGATTAAATGTATGTAGCTGTTTGAGAGTCAACTGTTTGATTTATACAAGCAGAAGCTAAGAAGGTTTAAGTTAAGTTATTGTAGCGATCTAAGTAATGTTGACGTTTCTAAATAGTTAAGATTTCGTTATGTTATTTCTATATTAAATCATTTACATCGTGAGTTAGATGTTGACTGAAAATTTAAGCTTAAAAGGCTAAACAACCGACAAAAGAAAGACCCGAACTATCAAAATAATTCTCAAGTTTTTCCAATGAAAAATTCTATTGTTATTGGGAAACGAAAATTGTATAGCTTTTAAGTTCTAAGAAATTTATTATAATTAATAATATGCATATAAACAGTAAAGATTTCATTCTTAGAACCCACACAATACATAATTATGTATTGAATATCTGGACCATTAAGTCTTGTTCTGTTATTATTACCTTAACAAGAATATAGATACATTCCTTGGTAATCTATTGCGCACATATCGTAAAAAAACTACTAAAGAGTATTATTCAATATACGAATCGTTACGCTTGCATTTCTTTTAAGTAATGACAGGTACTTTCCACAGACAATATATCGAGTACACTGTGTACACAGATAACAATTCACACTTGTCAAATTTTTACCTCGCAAATGGTGACCTAAACTTAAAATTAAAAGGCTTTAAATAAAAAGATTAATATTGTAAATAAATAACAACTTAATCACACTAGATTTTATGCTATATGAGTTTACTTAACAAGTTGTGGAATTATATACAATTTAAATATTGTATACTGGAAAATTACAAAGAAACTGACTTGAATACATAGTGGTTACGAACTGGTTAATATTAATAAGGGGTTCTTTCCAACGTATTATTACGACATTTTTTATGGACACCAATCATCCAATCAGCGACGGTTAACAAGTATAAACCTACTTTTCACGATTCTAGAAATGCCAATGTAAGATTTGTAACAATTTTTTTTCCGAAATTTGACTGAATTTCTTGGCTTATCATAAGGCCAAACAAACAGGTACTGGTTGTGGTCCATAGTTGCTACTCATATACAGTTTCGTCTTGCGTTTTATATTGTTATTTTTTGCACTCGGCGAAATAACAATTTTTGAATTTGGAACATTTGGATTTTAAAACAGTATATGCAAGGTATTCTTTACAGATTAGTAAAAAATTACGTAGTAAAAAATGATTTTTTATATATAATATTGTATAGGCCACTAGGAGCCTAAGGGACAGTCATTGGTCAAAAGGTAATAGCAGCCCATGGTCATAGTGGATGCGTTGCCGGCCTTTGAGGGAGGAGACAGCTCCCATTTTAAATAATCGGAGGTTATAGCTCCCAGGGAAAACCTACACTGGGAAATTCGCTAAGCCAAGCCACAGTTCGCTAGTTCGGAAAAGAAAATGCCCAGTGAAGTGCACGAGTACGGCTTCCAGCCATCAAGATGATTGTTTATTTAAATTTAAACCATATGTACTTTAAATAATTATTTTGCGGAAGGCCTAACCATATCTAAGCGTAAATGGCCTGTATCGCAGAACGTGACCGAAACAAATTGTCCGATACATTATCGTAGCAATAACAAGTACTAATAAAATGCTAATGAATGTTCACAATTGTATGTAAATTACGAATTGGGTGAGTAATTGATGCAATGTTCTTAAATCGTTATAATTGTTAGATTCATAGTTTAATTAGCAATAGATATATTGTTTTTTTCTCTTCTATCACTTTATAAATATAAAGGAGCCAGCCAAATTTTGTAGCACATAACGCATCTGAAAATTAAATTTTACTTTTTTTAATAAATGTAGAATTTTCGGAATATCGTTCATAGATCAAGACAAAATTATTAGAACAAAGAGTTTTTATTTATTAAAGTATCACCACATTATGTATGACATAATGCTAAATCTACAGTATTTATTACAAAAAATATATAAAAAACAATAAAAATCACTAGCAGAACAGCGGATTAGGTATCAGATAGGCATTTAATCAGCCCACTACCCAATATGTCAAGCTTTGGATAAGTATTTTATTCCGTTATATTCGCGAATTTATTTTAGAAAATAAATTTACACCTGAAATAATGTCATATCATTTGCCGAATGTCAAAATGTTAATGTACAACGTAATAACTTTTGAGAATTCCTATCCTCAACACGGCAAACTATTTAATTTAGTAAAAACATATATTTTACATACATTTTTCAAACAGATTTTTTTCAATACAATGATTTTATAGAGAGATAGGTGTAATGGAGCGGACAAATTTTTGTACTACACAACGCATTCGTAAAATTCATAGTTTATATAATCTTACAACTAAAAAATGTCATTTGTCAAATGTCAAAAATGAACTTATTATTATTTGTTTCTAAACGTGTGAAACTATATATAAAATAAGAACTTTGTAGTAAAATATAAATTACATACATGCAAGGACATAAAATATCTTAAAGAGAAACAGTTGTCTCGGCTCAAATAACTTCCGCGTACAATAATCACCAACCATTTTATGGGTTTGTGAGATTGCGGTCGTGTTTTCTATGGAAGAAAGACAGGAAGTTAAGCAATTTTCATTGTTTCTCTTGTCTTTTATTGCACATACAAAAGTCAGCAATTTATTCATAATTCGCTGCTTTGAGCATGCCGTATCTTAGAGGGTTTGTTTTAATTAAAAACAACTGGACATGAGACGATCACTATTTAAGCCTTGACTTGTTTATCGCGGTATATGTTTAAAAGT